GCAGGTGCTATCTTCATTTTAGGAAAGAGGGGAGGATGTGACTTCTCAGAGTCTTTCAAATTGAGGATTCTGTGCTCTGTAGGCAAATAATTTGTCTTTGCTTCATATTCTTGAGGCAGGAAATGGTTGGTTTCTTCTTTCATTAAGTAGTTAATTCAATACATTTATGAAGTGTCCAGTATACATTAAGCACTTTTGAACTGAGGAACATGTACATTTATAAAAAATCTTGCTGATTATACAAGTGATATGTGTTTATTCTAAAATTTTGTAAGGTAGAGGAAAATTTCCCTAATCTCACCACTTGGAGACAGATATACTTAAACTTTATCCTTTGCTTATTTATATTTATTGAAATTATATCATGTGTATAACTTTATATACTAATTTCCACTATTTTCTCATATTATTAAAGTTTTGACAAACATTTAAAAAATGACTGCATAACATTATGTTATGGGTTATGTGTCTGTTTCTGAAATGCTTAAGACTAAAAGTGTTTCAGATTTCAACTTTTTTTTTCCTGAACTAGGATATTTGCATATATATATAAGGAGATATCCTGGAGATGAGACAGAAGTCTAAACATGAAATTAATTTACATTCTATATGTGCCTTATCCAGGTAACCTGAAAGTTTACACAATATTTTTAAGAATTTTATATGAAAAACAAAGCTTATATATATTGAACCATCAGAAAGCAAAAGTATCACTATCTGAGCCACCCATGTGGAGGGATTATTTGGCATCATTATTTCTGGCTTTCAATTTATATTACTGATGAGCAGTCTTTTTCTTATGCTTTTGCATACATAGGTACTTAACACTAAAAATATGCCATATCGGGAATACAGTAAAAAAAAATAATGTGCTGAGGGTAGGTCATCCGCATAGTGGCCTCATCAAGAGGCCAATATCTGTTGCTAAAGTCTGGTGACAGTGGCTGCTGTCAGTTTCCATCTATGACGCTATGTTTCGATTTATCTGTTTTTTTCATTGTTTTTGGAGACAGGGTCTCCATATAGACCAGATCGCCCTCAAACTCATGATGATCCTCCTGCCTCAGCTTCTCAAGTGCTGGGATTACAAGCATGAGCCACCATACACAGTCTGATTGATGTTTTTTAAAAGACACGGTGAAGGACCATATCAGAAGTGGGGGAGGCATGAGGCTGTGTGCCTGGTAAGCGTGAGAGGACATTCTGCTCTATGGCTTTCCAGTGTTTCCCCCAGAGTCATCTGTGTCACTGACATTTTTGTCTTCCAGGTTTCCCTTTGATTTTATACACTGCTTGCTGCTGTGAGTGTATGCTCCTCTAGTCCTTCAGTAAGCTCACCCCACATTTACTGTGTCATCTGTGGCCTCTTTTCCTTCAGTGACAGTAATGCCACCTTCACTGTCATTTCTATCTTAATCATCTTGATTCAGAACCATTTTGGCTATTTCATTATTGGTCAATGAATAAGAAATTGGGGCCTTATTACTTTGTGTGTGTATTTCATTTTTGTTTTTTGAGACACGTGGTTCAGGCTGGCCTTGAACTCACTACGTAGTGCAGGCTGGCCTTGAACTCACTGCGTAGTGCAGGCTGGCCTTGAACTCACTGCGTAGTTCAGGCTGGCCTCAGACTTGCAGTGATCCTCTTGCCTCAGTCTTCTAAGTGCTGAGATTGCAGGTGCGCACACCACACACAGTTTATGTTTTTAATTTTTAAATTTCTCTTAAAGGATTTATCTAAACCAATTAAGAGAATCATGGATGACTGAACTTTTCCCCAGAAATGAAAAACTGGTCTTGGGCCAGCAACCTTCAGGAAAAAAACATGACAAATCTGGAGATTGATCAATCTGGACCAATATTCAGTTGATGGGGAAAGAAAAGCTAAGGTGATTGTTATTTATTTTGTCCATAGCTTACTTTTTTTCTTTTTGAGATAGGGTCCCACTATGTATGGCAGACTTGTCTTGAGCCCACGATATAGCCCAGGCTGCTTTTGAGCTCATGGTGATCCTCTTACATCAGACTCCTGGTACTAGAACTACAGGTGTACATCACCATGATCTCACTATCTAGTTTAGGCTGGCCTTGAACTCATGGTGATTCTCCTGTCTCAGCCTCCCAAGTGCTGGAATTCCAGGGATGTACTGTCACATCCAGCTATTGGCTCCTTTAAAACTTTTTTTAGTTTTAATTTTTATTAGTTTTGTATACTGTACATAATGATTACATTCATTGTGGGGAGTTGGCACATAACACATCTTATTCTTTGTGTCCTTCTTTCCCCCTCTTTTTTTGGCAGTAGGCAATCTGCAGTAGTTGCTATATTGCATATTGTTGTCCTCTACATAGTTGCTCAGACTTCTGGCTTTAGGCTTGCAAAGTTAGTTAAATAATATAGTTCCTGTGAATCAGGTAGTTGCTTATGGGGGTGTGGAGGGGTGTTCTTCTCTCCCAGCCTGCACACCGGCTTGCTCACAGGTCTTTTTTTTTTTTTTTTTTTTTTGTGCTAGGAATCAAACTCAGCACCTTGCTCTTGCCATACAGGTGTTGTACATTTAGCGATATCCCTGGCCCGCCTCCACCTCTCGATCCCCTTCCCATTCTCAAAAGATCTGTCTTCCTGTCTCCTATCATTTATCTTTTACTGTATAGAGCCATTGTTATTGTTATTCTTCTTATTATTGGCAGTGTTGAGAATTGAACCCATTGCCTCATGCATACGAGGCAGGTGCTGTATCACTGAGCTATGGCCCAGTCCAGAAGCCTTGTTACTGATGTTAAAAACGTCTTCAATATCCACCTCTTCCAGCTTCCTGACAGACAGTGGTGCTTTTTTCCAGCCTATGTAAGGAAATCTGACAGCTCTTCACTCTGTTGCCACTTGGTGGTTCTTGTGTTTGAATCAGATAGAAATCATGACAACGTGCAGTCTGCTAGTGGCCCTGATCCCAGTTAGTGCCAAATACTGTCAGCTGATGCAGCCAGTTGCTGGCCTCTGTTGCTAATCTTTGCTGGCTGCTGGTCTCTGGATCTCTTTAAGGCTACCAACCATTAGTGTTTACAGCTCTTTCTTTTAATTTTAAATCTATTTTTAAAAATTAGCACAATTTTGCTGATGACTACATTCATCATGGGCAGTTGGTCCACACACGTAACACATCCTAATTTTTCAAGCCCTCTTCTCCCACCCTTTTATTCCCTCCCTCTATTTCTTGGTCTCCTGCAGGTCTTTCTTTTAAAGGGACTACTCTGCTCAGCCTACTCAAGATATCTTGAGTAGATTTACAGGACCTTCAAGCCCATGCTACTTGAGAAATAAAGTATGAGCAGATTTACAGGATTCTCTGAGCAAGGATCTGTTTGAATATGGCAACCCAGGGTGGGTGTGTACACCAAAGGGAGCCCTCTGAGGAGTGTAAGAGAAGTGCTTCTTCCACAGCCAGAGCAGGCCTGTGATTGGCCCAGACTTGACCCTGCTGATTGGCCCATACAGTCTAAACTCAAGATCCTAGTCTACTGATTGGTCCAAACTCATTTCTTCTTCTCATTTGAAACTCAAATTGTCTGGTGGTGGGGGTGTGGAGCATCCCAGATGATGTCGGCTGCTATGACAGCCGCTCAGTGCAATTTTGAGGAGATGGGGGGCCTTTGATAGCTGTGGTCTCCCAGAAAAACGGTGGAGCACAAACCAGGGAATCTTTAGGAGGCCTGCCTACATCCATCGCTGTTCACTGGGGTGGGCGAGGGTAGGGGTGTTAACAATGGATTGAGCTCCTTCCCTCCCTAATCTTGGCCATTTCTTCAAAGTAGTGGGAGCATGTAGAGCATTTGGAGCTGGGGAGGGGACTAAGCTGACGGGGACTGCACCTCCTGTCAGAGCAGCCCTGAGGAGAGTGGCCTCTAAGTAACAGGGAGGACATTGAGGCAAGTTGCCCCATTCCATGTTGGCAAGGAGGGTGCAGAGGATGAGTGAATGAAAGTGAAGGAGGGCCATGACAGCTGTTGGCAAAATCACACCCCCCTCGCTGTCCCAGGAGACGGGAGGGTAGAGTCACATGCTTCTTGTCAGCCTCATCTGGCTGCAGGAAACCCTTCAAAGTTACCACCTGTGTGTCGTCATTGCCGAGCCTAAGTGCAGGCCAGCGGCTCCACACCTGTAGAGCTGTGTTCAGGTCTGGAAAACAGCTCGCATAGCCTCTTTGGTGGTGCTCTAGCTGCCGCTTGAGGAAGTGCTTTCATGTTTATTCTTTATTGATCTAAGGATGTTGTGGTTACATGGCTGAGTTAGTGAAGTTGCGTTAGGGGAAAGAACATGTTTTAAACATTAGTTTTGATGAGAATTTTAACTATAGAATGAGCAAAACACTGAAGTTGTCAAAGAATAATGAAAGTTCCCTGCAATACCAGTGGCAATCAGAGAAGTTCTTGGTGATCCATGGATTTTGGTTAGCAGAACAGTAAGAAATTAATTCTTTTAAAAAAGGACACAAGCTTTTGCCTGTCACAGAGAGTTTACACTAACATTTGCTTGCAGGACTGGCATACCCCAGCATAGTTATTTTGTCTTTGGTGTCTTTAACCCAGTTCTTACTTGAAAAAAATAAACTACAGCTCACTGCTGGCATTCATTTAACTCTACATGAACACTCCTTGAGACTAGTTTTCAATGTGAAAATAAGATATAAAAACACCTCTTGGAACTTTTTTTTTCTGAGACAAGTCTCACAATGCAGGTCAGTCTCCTTGAACTCACTCGGTAGCCCAAATCAAAGAAGATTTAATTCCAATACTCCTCAAACCACTCAATGAAACTGAAAGGGAAGCAATTCTTCCTAACTCATTCCTGGAAGCAAGTATTATTCTAATATCAAAACCAGAGAAAGATCCAAGCAAAAAAGAGAACTACAGGCCAATCTCCCTAATGAACATAGATGCAACAATTCTCAATAAAATACTGGCAAGCAGAATGCAGTAATCATCAAGAAGATTATATACTATGACCAAGTAAGATTCATCACAGGAATGCAGGGATGGTTCAATACATGCAAATCAATAAATGTAATCTGCCATATCAATAAAGCCAAAATAAGCACATGATCATTTCCATAGATGCAGGAAAAGCTTTTGATAAGGTCCAACACTCATTCATGGTAAGAATCTTACAGAAAATTGGAATAGATGGTCTTTACCTCAATCTTACAAAAACCATCTATGACAAACCAATAGCCAGCATCATGTTAAATAGCCCCAAACTGAAAGCATTTACCCTAAAATCAGGAACAAGACAAAAATGTCCATTATCAACATTTATCCTATTAAATATAGTGCTGGAAATACTAGCCAGAGCAATGAAACAAGAGAGAGAAATAAAAGGAGTAAGGATAGGAAAAGAAGAAGTTAAATTATCATTATTTGCAGATGACATACCTACTAGACCCATGCCTATCACAACATACTAGACAGAAGTCAAAATGGCTATATATTAACACATACACACTAAATCTGCTGGAAGACAAATTAGGTAGAAATCTTGAAGACATAGGGATAGGCAGAGAATTCTTGAACAAAAATCAAATCACATAGGAAATACTTCCCAGAATCAATAACTGGGATCTTGTCTTATTAAAAAGTTTTTGCACGTCAAAAGAAATCTCTAACAGAGTAAAAAGGAAACTCAAGAAGTTTGAAAAAATCTTAGTCAACTGCCCCTCAGACATAAGTCATCTTTCTAGAGCATATAAAGAATTTAAAAAAATAAGTTCCCTGAAATTCAAAGACCCAATCCAAAAATGGGCATCTGCGTTGAAGACACAGTTCTCAGATGAAGAAATACGAATGGCAAATAAATACATCAAAAAATGATCAGCATCACTGATCATTAGAGAAATACAAGTTAAAACCACACTGAGATTCTATCTCATTCCAGAAAGAATGGCCAGGATCAAGAAATCTACTAACAACAAATGTTGGAGAGGCTGTGAAGAAAAAGGGAACTCTTCTGCACTGTTGGTGGGAGTGTAGACTGGTGCAACCACTGTGGAGGTCAGTCTGGAGGTTCTTCAAAAAACTGGGATTGAAAGTCCCATTTGACCCAGCTATTTTATGTCTGGGTATATTCCCAAAAGAATGGAAAACATCACATCACAGTGATATATAGCAGCACAATTTGTAATAGCCAGATCTTGGAAAAAAACATAACTGCCTGTCAACTGAGAAATGGATAAAAAATATGTGATTTTTTATACAATGGAGTGCTACTCAGCTATAAGAAATGATCACGTTGAGATATTTATAAGTACTTGGATGCAACTTAATACCAAACTCATAGGTGAAACAAACTCACATGTGTAAATATCATATTGTCTCTCTAGCGTAAGAAATGCTAAGAAATGGGGCTGGGGATTTAGCTCAGCGGCATAAGCGCCTGCCTTGCAAGCAGGCAGTTGTGAGTTTGATCCCTGGTACCGATAAAAACGAAAAAGACAAAAAAAAAAAAAAAAAAGAAATGCTAAGAATATCTAAGACACAAAATCCTCAATAAATCTGGTGAAAGGGTAAAAAAAAGAGGAAAAAGAAAAAGGAAGGGAAAAGAAAAATATCTAAATTTGTATAAACACAGGATAGCTAAGTTGATTGTGCTACAAATTCTATAAGTTCTTGGAACAAAACAGTTAACACTCGTAGCACTGGAACAGTTGTGCATGTTTGCATCTGGTGATCTAAGGAACTCTTGAAGATCACTGTATAAAATAATACCTTTAGTTATGTTCCTACCACCTCGTTTTGAAGGCCTGTATCATCATTGTTTTGGGCTCTTTGCTATTGTTACTTGTTTTCCTTTTTTGTTTCTTGTTTTTCTAGTAATTTGTTTTGTTTTTCCCTCTAATGCAGAAAGGATAGGTATACATGTAGAAGCTTGTATACATGCCTCGAACTTCTCCTAAACAGTTTATGAGAATCAATTATATTATGTATGATGAAATGAACAGCTATTTTGAAGAAAAACACATTATGGTATCCATTGCTAATTTTGTATCATCATAATGTGAATCCAATAATGCTTCTATTCTTTGTTCACAGTGGTTTTAGTCTGTTTTGTATTGTTTAATTTCAACATACATGAAGGTATGAACAGCTATTTTGAAGAGAATAAGAAACATTGTGGCAGCCATTGTTGATTTTCCTATTGTCTGATTTTGAAGGCCTATAATGCCTTCATTACTCTGTTCTGATTATTTTATATTTTGTTTTGTATGAATTCATTTTGTGTGAAGATATAGACAACTATTTAGAAGAAAACAAGATATGGTAGGCACTGTAGATCTCCCATTGTCTTGCTTGGAAATCTGTGTCACATTATTTTCTTCTGATCTGCTTTGTTCTGTTTAGTTTTACCCTCTTTAAAATAAAAAAAAAAAGAAAATAGAAATAGAAGCTAGATATTTTGTGATAATCTTTGAGGTTAAAGGTTAAGGGTTAAGGACCTTAACCCCCAAATTATACTCTGGCAAGCAGGAAATGAGTTGATTCCTGTGGTCAGTGTCTCTCTAGTTGCAGTCAGTGTCTTTCTGGGACAAAAATGCCCAACTGGTGATATTGCATCTGTCATTCTAGACTCATTCTGGTGTCAGGTTTTCATCACCAATGACATTGGCAAACCTGTCCATGAATTTCTCTGCTGCCTCATAATCAGCAGATGCTTTGTCACTACAAATCTTTGTTGGTTGTCATGTTTTCTTAAATTTTTGCAATCATCCTATTAAATATTCACAATTCCCTTGAATTTCAGCTCATCATGATAGATCTTTGCTTGTTCATGGTCAGAGTATCATTGCTGATGGATCCACTCAACACACAAGTGAGGTCTTTATTTTTAGCTTTTTGCTGTGTTTTTCAATTTTGCATTAACTTCTTAGTTACTTTCCTCTTGTTGCTGAGACAATATTCCTGACACCCAAAGTTAAAGGGAGAAAGGTTTATTTAGTTGATTTAGATTTGCTGAGGTTTCAGTCTGTAGTTGGCTGACTCTATGGCAGGATGGCTTGGCAGAAGGGCATCCCATTCATGGTGCCCACAGGGTAGCAAAAGCGACTAACAGGGCCTTAACAGCATCTTTCTGCCCCTTTTGTGCTCTATCTAGGCTACTGAGGTTAGAGAAATGCCGAAGAAATCACTGAAATGATTTAGCAATCACACATCCTTAGTCCCAGCATTGTGCAATAGATCCAGCCACCTCTGAAAAAGCCCCCTCTGAGGCTGCATGAGGTTGGGGGGGACCTCTAGACATAAGCCATAACACTTCTGCTCATCCCTTTAGACACAGCATTTCAACAGTTTGTCCTTCTTTTTATTCACATCACATATGGCAGTTCCTCTGACCACACCCTGTGTTAAGAGATTTAACACTTAAACACTGTCCAGTTTCTTCAGCTGCTTAATCTTCTGTGATATAAGTTAACATAAACAATTCCTCTTTGTTCTCTTGCTGTCACCCATGGGAGTACCTGCAGACCTTTTTTCTGACATTTTCAGTAATATCTTTACACATCAGAGAATAAGTGAAAACCCTCATTTAGGAGTACTATTGGGTACCTGCTGTTACTGTGTTAGGCCTGAAGAAGTGTCATTTTATTTCTCCTTGTTTAAGACAGGGTCTATATAGTTCAAGCTGGTCTTGAATTCACTATGTAGTCCAGTCTGACCTTGACTTTACAGAAATCCTCTTGCCTCAACCTCCCAAGTACTGAGATTACAGGTGTGTACCACCATGTCTGGCCATTTTATTGATAAGCATGCTTGTGTGGGGGAAGCTGGGTATGTGTAGAAAAGGCCGAGGTGGAGGTTTCTGAGAGGAAGGTTATTCTGAACAAACTGTGTTGTGCACCAAAGTTTTTTTTTTTAAATTTTATTTAAGGAGAAAAAGAAAAAAAAAACCAAAAAAGGGTACAAGCTATATAGAATTTCAGAAAGAATAAACAGTAGGAAATCACTAGTTAATAGATCATATATTGTCATCTTAGAAATAGTTGTTCAAGTTACAAAATTAAAGCTTATAAAGTAGACATTCTAACAGTGAGACTGCAAACAGTTCTGTTCAATGATCCAACAAAACTCAGTAATATGGTTATCTATCTTATACACTTAAATATACATGCAGTTATATCCTTTAGAGTACTTTCTTTTCTTTTCTTTTGTACATTGACAATTACACATTTTGGGTTTTATTACTCCCACAGTTCTTATTATTTTTTTTTGAAGAGAGTAAAACCAAATGTGACATAACAGAACAGAGTCAGTCGAATCAAAAGGATGGACATAATAATATAAAAACAAAATACAAGGTGATCAACAATGGTTACCATACTGCCTCTTGCTATCTTAAAAAGAATTGCCTATATCATCAGTTATAATAAAATTGAACAAAACAGTAAAGAATAAAACCAAAACACTGGAGACATTACAGGACTTTAAAAGAAGATAATAGTTAACTGGAATGGGCGTCATAATGAATCTTATTGTCTTCACAGTTTTGCCTATACTTTCGAACTTGGTACTATCAAGCAAAGCAGAATAGGGGAAAATCAGTCAAAACAAAATAGTGAGGGCAATACAGGGTTTCAAATCAAGTTAATAGGACATCAAAGTGGGTTACTATAATATATCCTGCTATTTTTCATTTATTTTTCCCTTAATTAAAAAGATACAAATAAATAAAAAAGGATACAAATAGAAAAATAAATACTTAAAAAAAGGAGATTGAGATAAAAGAGGGCATAACAACAAAACAGCGCAGGTCAAAGCATAACAATTTAAACAAAATAGTGTTTCAACACAAGATATCCTGACATAGAAGTAGTTACCATAGTGTCTCTTTCCTTGAAATCTTTGAGTTTAACTTCATACACTGTAGCACCAAACATATCAAGACAATGTAAAACCATTCAAGAGAATGACAGTATTACAGGGTATTTAGAACCAACTATCAGAAAAGGAACAATGGTTTCTGTATAATCTCCTTGGCTATAAAAGTTTTTGTTTATATTATCACATATGATAAAATCCAATAAGATACAACATGTTAAGACTGATGGAGACACAAGAATAAAAGCTTGATGGGACTTCAAAACAAGATGATACTAAATCAGCACTAGCTATTATGATGTCTTGTTTTCTCCAAAATGGCTGTTCCTACCATCCAACCTTCTCTGCCTCATTTCTGTTGAGATCTTTTTCTGTCATTTGTTGTCAGTTTGCCTTCTTCATTTTGCTTTCTGCTCCATTCATTGTGGCCTCTCTGCCACTGTTTCTGGAATGTTGGTATTTTCCTTTTTTAGAATATATGCAGTATTCTCTGTAGAGTTGAATTGGTGGTTGCAAATTCCCCTAGTTCCTCTTTATCCTGGAAGCACCTTGTTTTTCCATCAATTTCTAGGAACAGTTGTGCAGGATATATCAATCTTGGCTGGAGGTTATTATCTTTCAAAGCTTGAATTATTTCCCCCCATGCTCTTTGTGATTTGATAGTTTGTGCCGAGAAGCCTGCTGTAATTCTGATGGGTGTTCCCTTGTAAGTGATCTGTTTCTTATCTCTGATGGCTTTTAATATTCTTTTCTTATATTGGATTTCTGGAATTTTGATTATTATATGCCTGGGTGTAGCTCTGTTTGGGTTGTAGGTGGCTGGGGTCCTGTATGCCTCATACATCTGAGTATCTTTACCTTTTGCTAAATTAGGGAAATTCTCCTGGATTATTTCTGTGAATAGCTTTTATAGTCCATTTGTTTGTGTCTCTACTTCTTCTTTTATGTTCTTAATTCTTAAGTTATAGATCGTCTTATCATCTTCTAGCCTTTGTATTATTGCTGTTTGTTTTCTTGTTATTTTTAAGAAGTTTTTCATTTCATGCTCCCACATTACAAATCTGTCCTCAGTTCAGATAACCTATCCTTAGTTTCTTTCAAGCTGTTATGCCAGCTTTCAATAGAGTTTTTAGTTTCCTGGTAATCTCTTTGAACCTGCTTCATGTATTCTGTTTTCTCTATTTTCTCCATCAAACAATCTCCCCTTTTTTTCTGTTCTTCCATTCCACCATCTGTTTTTTCTTGGGTGGTATTTAGCATTTCTCTAACTGTTCTACTTATATCTTGCTTTATTTCTTTAAATACTTCTTTTGAACTTGTCTATGAGGCTCCGGAGATATCTCTTTATGTCTATTGGTGCCATGTCTGATATTGCATGTTTTCTGTCCTCCTTTGCACTTACCTTTCCTGGATCAGTGTTCTCAGAATTGGGGACTGAGGACCCTTTCTTGTGGCTCCCTCTTCCCATACTTTTTGTTCCTTCCATACAAGCGTATATAGGAGGCCCAGTTTTTTTCGTTGTCAGTTACAGTTTGTTTGAATCTGCCAGCTAGGTGTTCCCGCCCACTGCAGTGTACTAGGGAGACACAGACCTGGGAAGCCTATACTGGGCCTGTCCCTCCAAGTCAACCTACCGAAGGCTTCACTGCTAGGGTGTACCACCAGGCACTGGGACCTGGTTTGGGCTAGCCTACTGGGTCTTAGTCAGTGGTGTCACCAGGCCAAGCACTCCGCACCAATCCCGCTTGACAGGGGAATATGTGACTAAAGTTACTGCAGCGTCCTGTTCCAGCTAGTCTGCCCAGTCCCAGAATGTCCTTTGCTGGAGCCTCCTACTCTATGGAAGGGTCCCCGTTCCACTCACTCACCGCAGGTCAATGCAGGGCTCCCTGCCAGTCCTGCTCTCAACTCCATTCACCGATTCTCGCTCTCAGAGCTTTCATGCGTCTCTCCCTCTGCCGTGCTGATTTGGACACACCCACGGCAGCAGGGGAATTCAAATCATGATTTCCAGAGGTGCGGGTTCTAGCTTATGTGCTGAGATTTTATCTGTTCCGGTTATAGCACCGGGATTGCATTTCCAGTTGGTTTCTCTCAGCTTAGATCATTCCTGTTTTGGCAGGGTATATCTCCCCATGCTTAAGACTCCTTTCACTGCCCCATTCCTGGATTCTAAGCGGGGTATCTCAGAGAGCCTTCGTAACTGCTGTTATCTAGCCACTATGTTCTCCCAGAACTAGTACCATAAATCAGAGATTCACAGGTTTTCCTTTCTTGTTGAAATAAATCCAGTTCTTTTGTGTGTGTGATAATGCATATGGCGCCCAGGTCCTAGCACACACTAGGTAAAGCACTCTACCACTGAGCTCTAGCTCCAGCCAACTTCTGTTTTTCCAACTCTATTTCATATGACACCCTGACAAAAAGCTGGATAGATGGATTCACAGCTCTGTCTCCTTTAGAAAAGAGCAGACTCAGCCCATGAGCAGATGTGTAGGATCAGAAAAAAGACTTCTGAGTGGTTGCCGCGCCAAGACGACACCGGGCTGTGCTCTCCCTCTGTGCATAGAGGACGCTGTGCACCAAAGTTTTGACTTCAGTCTGCCACATGAGGTCAGGTATAAAATTTTCTTTCTTTTTTTGAACTAGGAATTGAACTCAGGACCTCATGCTTACCAGGCAGGCACTGGCTGCTGGGCTATATCCCCAGCCTGATGTAATTTTCTACTTTGACATCCTAAGGACACTCGAAAAGTTTGCACTTTGGAATATTTCAGATTTCCAGTTTTAGTGATGTTCAACTTGTAGTAGAAGATTCAATAATTTTCTTATCATTGGACATCCGGATTGTTTCCATGTTTTCCTCTTGTAAATATTGTTTTGCATCAAGTGTATTTTGCATTTTTAATTTTTTCCCTAGGCTTATTTCTGAAAACAAATAGAAAATTTGGTCAATGAGGTGTCCACAATATATTTGCCAAGTCTTTGCTTACTCATCATCATGATTTGTATTCTCCCTGGTAAAGGAGATGGATAAGGGATTTTGACATGGAAAATGAAGTTGTTTTCCTCAGTTTTGGCCAATGTGATTGGGAGGAACATGTAGGGACGATGGGATCTGTTGTAGGAGATTGGTTCAGATGTTGCCTTTGGTAAAAAGTGAGAAGATATCCTTAAGGGTAGAACTATATTTGACAAAGATCAGTCAAAGATGCAGTGGATATTCCAGAAAAGTAAAATCAAAAAGAAATAAGACCTTCAGTGTGGAGTTGAGTGAATAATTTAATGACAGAGTGCTTGTCTAGCATGCACAGGCCCTGGGTTTGATCTCCAGCACATGCACGCGCGCGCACACACACACACACACACACACACACACACACACACACACAGTGTAGACTGGTACAACCACTGTGGAAATTAGTGTGGAGATTCCTCAAAAAATGAGGATTGGAGGTCCCATTCAATCCAGCTATTCTCCTTCTGGTTACTTTTCCAGAAGAACTGAAAACATCATACCACATTGATGTATGTGCACCCATGTTTATAGCAGCACAATTTGTAATAGTTAAATCTTGGAAACAAAGCAGATGCCCATCAACTGAGGAATGGATAAAAAAAAAGATGTGGTATTTTTATACCATGGAGTACTACTCAGTTATAAAGAGGTATAAACTTGAGGCTTTTATAAGTAAAGGATGCAACTTGAGACTATACTTATAGGTGAAATAAATCAGACTCACATGTGTAAATATTGTAATGTCTCCCTAGTGTAAAAAACTGAAAGAGTAAATAAGACCCAAAATGTATAGTAGATATTGAGGAAGTTGAAAGGAAAAGAATCTGCTCCAAAGGAAAGAATAACTGGGATAAGGGAAAGGGAGAAAAGAAAGAAGGGACAAGATTATATATATATATATATATATATATATATATATATGAGATAGATAACTATACTACTAATCTCAGTTCATCAAACATTATTTGATTGATCATCTTTCATGGCTATATCTTATAATCTGAACAACTACTTTCAAGATAAAATTATGCAACATATAGTTAATAGTGTTAACCTCATTATTTTGTTTTGAAATTTTGTATGATTGTTTTTTCTTTTTTCATTTTAAAATAGAAAAAAGAAGGAAAGAAGAAAGAGACAAGACAAGAAAAAGGAGAAAAGGTGAATTTCAGTCAGTGGGAGAAATTTCAGGGTCTCAAAATTAAGTCGGTTTCCGTGTAGAGCTGCTGCAGAATCAGGGGCTAGAAGAATGGCCCCCTCTCCAGTGGTCAATAGCTCCGGACTGGGTTAGGGGTGCTGAAAGGACAGCTCAGTGGTGGAGTGATTGCCTAGCATGCATAAGGCTCTGGGTTTAATCCCGACCTCCAAAAAATAAAAATAAAAAATAAAAAAAGTATTAAAATTTTTTTTGAAAAAAGGACCTGCTGAGTTTACAAACATTGCCCAGGGTGTAGAGAATGGGTGTGAAAAGTGAATTAGGCCAAACTCATTGGGAATAAACTAAGGGTCCGAGGAACCAGATGTGTAGTTTGAGGAAGTTCAGACCTCAGGACATGGTTACCCATGGAGAATCCTCTGGTTAGGCTGCAGTTATTAAAAAGTTCTATCTCTTTACAAAATTCATTTGTAGTTTTTCTTCTCTCATTCTGGTTGTCAGCTGTTATTGGGAACAGTCATCCTGGCTGAACTAAGTGGAGATGACTCTCCTTATCTAGACCAGTGTAACTATGCTGGTGGGATGAGCAAGCTAGGAACTGGGTAATGTAGCTTTAGTCATCCTTGGCCCTTTGTACTATTTTTTGTTTAACAAATTACTATTTTTTTAAAATTAATTAAGTTTATCGATACATTTTGTGTATACATAATGATCTTTGTTTCCCCTACCTTAAAAATTATTTTTAATGTTACATCTAAAGAGGTCAGAGAAAAAAATGCCAGTTATCCAATAACTGTGTTTTTTTTTTTTGAATCAGATCTCTCTATGCAGTTCAGGCTGGCCTTGAACTCACTATGTAGCCCAGACTAGTCTGAACTTGTGATCCTCCTGCCTCAGCCTGCAGAGTGCTGGGATTATAGGCATGCACAACCATGCCTGGCTCCAATAACTGTTATGCTTTTTAGAGACAGGCATCCAGAACCCTGTTCTCATTCAAAGCTGTACACAGTAGAGCTCAAACAGCTGCTTCCTAGCACGACTAGAAATGCTGACCCACACGTGTATGTCATCAAGCTAGGCAGACTTGGATTTGAAAGACAATTTCCTGCTTGCAAGTGTCCAAGCCCTTAGAATTTGTCCTAAAAGAAGATGAGGAAGATCATACACACCGAGTCATTAGAGAAAACTACTAAATAGCTTATTTGTTCTAGGATGCATTATGTCAGACATGGCAGTATATGCAAAGAGTCTGCATGATGAGCCCCCAGGCATTTCAGATTCAATTTACCATGGAATCCAGTCATAGGGCACAGATGCCTAGTTAATACCGGCAGTGCAAAAGTCATCTGGGTAACTCAGCACTATGCTGAGGCTGGCTGCACTGGAAAATATTAACGAAATTTGAAAATAGAGAGTAAGGTCTATTTACAAAAGTTGGTTTAGTAGAGTGACAGGAGAAAATTTGTATCAAGCACTTTCCCTCTGTCCCTCCCTTCTCCCACAAACACCCCCCCCCCCGCCGAAAATCATCTTGAAAATCAGGTTAAACTGAAAAGAAAAGTGCTTGTTCCAGGAAAAAGACTTCAAGATAATTTACAGGCAGATTTCATTTTATTAATAAAAGTGAGAAAGGGTGACGAGATGTGTGCTTTTTAAAAATGCCTCTATGAATACATCAACAAGAAAAAAAAATGCTAAGCATGTTTTTGCTTCCATTTGTGAGTCTTCCAAGAAAAGTCAGTTAAAGCAACAGGGTATTAAAACAAAAATCCAGCAAACTTGGTCAGTTCTTTCCAGTTGTTGGCCTCGTTTCTTTCTAGTCATTTTGAATTCGATTCCCATTAGCGGAGGACAATGTGTTGGTCAAAGATGGACTTTGGCTGCTCTTGAATCTGAAGCTTCCAGCGCTGCTGGGCCCACTCTGCCATGATCAGAACATTGCCCGGGCCCGGGACCTCAACAGTGCCAGTTACGTTGTCACTGGGCCTTGTGGTTTTTTTTTTTTTTTCCTTTTGATACCAGGAATCGAACTCACAACCTTGCGCTTGCCAGGCAGGTGTTATATCCTGGGCCCTGTGCCTTGCTCTTTATCTGAGTACAGATCTAATTTCCCACACTCCTCTGAAAACAGTGTAAAGATAGAAACTTTGTTTTGCTTTCTGATTTTTGATTTTTTAGTATCTGGCAAGATTGTACTTATACCATAGGCATGCAATAAATATTGATTATACTGAAAGCTTTTGTATGTGTGTCACATACGGATTTTAATAAATGTTTGTTACGATTCATTCATTAGCCACTTAATAAGCTTCTGGCTTCCTAACTGCTAAGCACTATATTAAGGGACCAAGCGAGTGAATGAATGGGAATAAACACATGGTGGCCTGTGGGAAGCTTGTTGTCAGCTGGCAGTTGTGGTGCATCCTATAATCCCAGTGCTGTGGGAGACCAGGTCAGGAGAGGGTCACAAGTTCGTGTCCAGCTTGGACAATTTAGGGACCTAGTGAATTTTTCAAAAATTTTTTTGAAAAGGATTGGGCATGTAGCTTAGTACAAAAGCTGTGTGTTCAATTTCCAGTATTTCCAAAAACAAAACCAAAACCAAAACAAAGACAAAACCCAAAAATCACCTCATAGTCTTGTGAGGGAGGTAGTGTTAACCATCGTTTTATTTTATTTTATTTTTTTGAATCAGAGTCTCACTGTGTAGTACAGGCTGGTTTTGAACTCAGTAAGTAGCCCACACTGGACTTGAACTCATGACGATCCTCCTGCCTCAACCTCCTGAGTGCTGAGATTATAAGTATGTGCCATCATGCCTGGCTGACAGTAGATTCCTTTATGGCAGGAAATGTATTTTTACTTGTTTTTGTATTCCCTGAATCTATAGTAGTGCATGACGTGTAGTAGGTAATGATAGATATTTGCTTCCTGAGTTGGAAATCCATTGTTTTGGACTTGACATAAAGTTGGTGAGGTGCTCAGATCACCCCTCAGCAATCTTTTAAATTTGTAGCCTAACAGAGTTATGGGCATATCTTAGGCCTGAGAAGGAGAAGACGTTTAGAAGCTAGGAGAAGTTAGAAAAATGAGAAGTAAAGTTATATTTTGGAAATATTTACTACTTCAATTGAAATAGTTTCAGAGAAGTTCTGGCTACAGTTTGTATGGTCCCCCCCCCCCACTTTTATTTTCTTTTTTTGCAGTACTGGACACTGAACCCAGTTACATTGCCCTGAGTTACATCCTTAGCTATTTTTTATTTTTCATTTTGAGGCAAAACATTGCTAAGTTAGTAAGTTTCCCAAAGTGAGCTCAAATTTGCAGTCCTCCTGCCTCAGCCTCCCAGAATGCTGGATTACAGATGTGTGCCCCATGCCAAGTAGTTTGTGGGTTCTTAGAAAGGCCCGTTGGGGGAATCAGGGCTTTCTGGATTATTTTTTCTACTCACTATTATACAAATGACTCTATTCCTTCTCAGACACTGAAAATCTTTTTTCTCAGTACATGTTTGTGGTACATCATGTTTACATTTCTTATGTGGAGTTGGTACATGTGCCTAATACACTTGAATTCCTTTTTTAAATCCTCCTTTCCCTTCTGTCTTCCCTCTATCTCTTGATCTCCTTCCTTTTTTTCTTTCCAAAATAGCAATTATTTTCATTTCTGTAACTTGGTGGCAATGATTTTATATCACAGCAATGACTTCTGGAAATGTGTAGGAGTTTACAGGATTCACGGGGATAGGAGTTTCCAATAAAAAAGTAAAGTTTAGAACAAATGCAGTTATAAAGCAGTGTGGCTCGGCAGCAAAAATCTTCAGTGGTCTTTTCCAATCATTATTGCTTTTTTCCTTTCTCCTTCAGATTCTACTAGCCTGGCAGGTGATGTCAAGGTCGCAGTTCAGGAATCTCACAAAGAAGTGAGTTTATACAGTACTGTTGCCTGCTGCAACATAGGCAGATCCAGCATTTTCTTCCTGACGGTGCCCCTACTTAAATATCAGCTATTAAAAGAAGCATCCCTACAATGGGTAACAGTACTTTCACGTGAGGTCACTGGAGGGCAATATGAAAATAAGAAAAAAATCCCCAAAATCCTGATTCGGTTTAAAGCAATCATGCAACGCCATTACACCCACATCTTCCAAGACACCGTTGCCATGGAAGTGAAGTGACAGACAGAGCACGGAGCTTTTGTCACAGTGATGCATCCGGTAAGTAGCTGTGTGCTGAGTACCGGGAGGTGTTGTTCCAAATGCATGTAAGTCACCCTCCACTTTTCCCCTCTAGGCGTTTGATGCCATCCTTGGTTTCAGGCCTAAAGAACGAAAATACTGTGCTGCTCTCCTCTGATTCAAAAAAGCTGTCAGAATCCCCACAATATCGGTCTCCAGTAATATCTGAGGTGGCAGTGGCTTCCCCGAGCAGGCGTCTTTTCAAGGGGGATGTTTCTGTACATCCGTCTCCCCTGTTCGTCTGACATTGCGATGTCCACCTCCTTACACGCTATCCTGCTGGTTTCCAGAAATCTAACCACAGCCTGCTGTTTCTTCTTTATTGCCACAGAGCCAGAGGAGGAGCCCATCCATCTTCACAGCCCTGACGCACTGCGCACTGTGCACAGGTTCCCTGAACACTGCTGGCTCCTTCCGCCGGTCCAAGGAGGAGCGCTCCTTCCTTTGCTAGGTACAGGTCTGTGGTGCATAATGTTTTCAATCCTTGTGTTGAGTTGGTGCATGTGAATGACACATCTTAGTCCCATTTTCATCCCTTTGCCTTCCCTTCCCTCCTTCACCCTCCACCTCTTGATCCTCCTCCTATTTGAGAAGTATCTCCCTATTTTCTATTATCTAACCTTTTTTTTTGCTCTTCATTTGTATTTAGCATTCTCATATAAGTGTCTAATTTTCACTTAACAAGTTTAGGTGTATTCATTTTCCTACCAATGTATCAAGTCTGTCCTTCTGTATGGCGGAGTAGTATTTCATTGTATGTAAATACCACCTTTTCTTTTCTTGTCTTTTTGAGACAGGGTCTCTCTGCAGTTCAGGCTCACTTGGGGCTCACTTTGTAGGCAAGGCTGGTCTCGAACTTGCAACGTTCCTTCTGCCTCGGCTTCCTGAGTGCTAGAATTACAGGACTGCACCACCATGCCCTGCTTCTCATTTTCTTTATCTGCTTATCATAGGCCACTTCTAAGATTTATCTGTTGTGAATTGTGCTGCTGTGAATATGGGTATGCATGTATCACTCTAATATGCTTTTAACACTTTAAACAGCAGTTAAGCTTCATGATATCCTGTATTTTCCTTTTTTTTTGTCTTTTAAATTCTTTTCTTCATTAGGAATATCCTTCTGTCTTATGCCATTATTATCATCCATCCATTCCCTGATGACATGCTACTCTGTCCATGAAGCCCTGTGGAAGAAATGATCTCTGTACTCCAAATAGTTAAATTTGTGGTTCCCTGTGTGGTATTTAATGCTAATTCCTAGCAACCTAGTTATTTTTCTCTTATTGCTGAGACAAAATTCCCAACACCCAGAGTTAAAGCGGGGGGACTGTTTGTAGAGGTTTCAGTCCATAATCCCTTGGCTCCAAGACATATTTTCATGGCAGAGGGGCATTGCAGAAGCAAAACAGTTCATGGTGCTCACAAGGTGATAAAAGCAAGAAGGGACCGTAACAATATCTTTCTGCCCCTCTTATACTCTATCTAGGCTACTGGGATTGGGGCAGTGCCAAACCAGTGGACTGATTTAGTAATCACATGCCATTAATCCCAGCATTGCATACTCTAGATTCAGTCACCTCTGAAGGAGCCCCATCTACGACTGCATGACACTTTGGGGGACATCTAGACATAAACGTAACAGCTACTACTGCATATGGATTATCATTCTTAGTCTAGGTAAAAGGAAGGAATCATACATAATTTAGATATGAATATTCTATAGTTTCTCATATCTAGCACAGGGTCTTATAAATGTTGAAAGATCTGGCTCAACTTTATTACTAAGTTAATGCAATTGTTATTATATATGTTATCTTGAGTCGCCCATGGGGTGTCCAGCTTTGTGGTCAAACATTATTCTGGGTATTTGTATGAGGGTAGTTTTGGATGACAATCACATTGAAATGTGTAACACTGAGTAAAGAATGCAATGTTTCACATGAGTGGGCCTCATCCAATCAGTTGAAGGCTTGAACAGAACAATAATCAAGTCTTCCCCAAGTAAGAGAGTTTCTCCTGCCTGACTGCCTTTGAACTGAGATCTGTATTGTTCTTTTTTTCCCCTGCCTTTGGACTGAAACCAAAACAGATCTCTTCCTGCATCTTGAGCCTGCTGACCTTCAGACTGGAACTACATCCCTGGCCCTCCGGGGTCTCTAGTTGCTGACTCACCCTGAAAAGACTTTGAGACTCACTAGCCCCCATGATCAGGTGAGACAATTCCTTGCAACACATCTCTTCTATATAAACACACCACTCTCTATTGGTTCTGTTTCTCTCAAGAACCCTGATTAAAAACTCAGGTTCTGGATTTTAGAAATATTCCAGAGACAGGAAGAGACTGTCACCTACTATTCCTGCTTCTGCATTCCAGTGAGGCACACTGTAAAAGTTATGTTTACCTTTTCATCTCCTGAACCCTTTTTTATCTGACCTTTGCTTTCCCCGCTTTCCAACTTTCAGGCCCGTGGGACTTTAGCCTTCCACTGTGACATCTAGCTGAGACATGCCTTGTTCAGTTAGGCCTTGATTTTCCCTGCTTTTGCATCTTCTCCCCAGCCCTGCCTCATCAGAGCACTCCAGTTAGTAAGGTAATCACAGCTCGGAGATGACGGGAACACAGTTTACCAGGATGAGCAATTAGTGTAGAGTTGAAAGCTCTTGAGGTTCTCGGAATCATTTGCTAAATGAGCTGGATGAAGTACAAAGTAGAGGCTGGCGATATGGCTCAGCGGCACAGCGCCTGTCTGGCAAGCACAAGGTCGTGAGTTCAATTTCCGGCACCAGAAAAAAAAAAAAATCAAAGCACCTTAATAAAGTGTCAGGAAGCAGGGTGATACTTTAGAGTAACTGTCCAAAGTGCAGGCGAGAGAGCTCCCCTGGGGAGCCCTTGTGTCGGCACCCTATGTGTTTACTGCTTTGATGGATGGTTCCCTTTTCCATCTCTGAAACCACGGGTTCCTCTAGAATGAAAACAATAACCAAAGGCACAGTCACGGAAGCAACGAGGGACATTCTCGTGCTGATACGAGAAACCACAACAACTGTACGTCTCCACTGGGTTTCTATAACTTAGCAGGTACCTGTCGTATTGAAAGAAGAATGTAGGCTGTTTAAACGATGGTAAGAAAGTCAGTAGGTTTAACATGCTATGTAGCTACAAGTAGAGAAAAGCCCGGATAAGAGAGCAGATTCTAATGGAGGTGTAGAAGTGCCCCGTGTGAGGAGATGTTGGTTAGTCAGGACTGCAATAAAGCTGGCTGATCTGGTTTCAGATAGCTTTCTTTGTTTTGTTTTGCTTTTTTTTTTTTTTTTTTTGTCTTTTTCATTTTTATCGGTACCGGGGATTGAACTCACGACCACCTGCTTGCAAGGCGGGTGCTTATGCCACTGAGCTAAACCTCCAGCCCCTTGTTTTGCTTTTTGAGACAGAGTTTTGCTATGTATTCCGGGCTGGCCTTGAAGTTACACCACTCTCCCTGCCTCAGCCTCCCAAATGCTGAGGCTATAGGCATGCACCATCATGTCCAGCTTGGCCTTAAATGTCTTGCCCGTAACATGTTTTCCTATAGATCTTTCCTTCTAGACTTCTTGTAAGAAGGAGGGGTGTGTTTAGAAGTAAGATCATGGCTGTCACAGAAACTATGATCTCCTGCATCTATTTAAATATTTTAATGTATTTAAATCTATCTCATATTAAAATTGTCCGTTTCCTGAAGTCTGCTTCTACTGGCTCCCATCATGTCACTCTTTTCCTGTTTATAGACCAACTCCTTAGGAGAGTTTGCGGTCACTGTCTCACCTGCCTACCTCCCACCTGCTCCTCAGCACCCAGAGGGGGTTTCTTCCCTCTGTTGTGCAGCCAGCCCTTGTAACTCTTGTTGCACAGACTGTCACAGAGCACCTGACACTGTGCCGCTGCTCCGCCCCAGGGTGGCTGCTCTGTCCCTGGTCTGCGGGCTTCTCTCCTGCCTCCCCGGGCATTTCCTTTCAGTTTCCTTTGCCCTCTTGTCTGCTGTTTCCATCCCTCAGTGTCAATGGCCATTGCCACTCACCCTGACTCCAAAATGCTCCCCCTTGCTTTCACCCCCTCACTCTTGCTGTTTTGGAACTAGTCCCAGGAGTCCTCTTCTGGGAGTATCTTCCTGTGGTGGCTGTCTCCATAGCCAGAATGGATTCAAAATGTTTACCTTTGACTTTGGGAAGAGCCGGAGGTCACATGGTACCAGATCAGAAGAAGAAGGCGAATGAGGATACCGTAATGGTTTTATGATCCTGCCGCCTTTCGGGTGACACTTGGAAGCAGCGTTTGCTGTTTCTTTTTCTTTTTTTAATTTATCTTGTAAAGACCCTCATGAGAGAAGACTTCCAGAACCGCTTCAGAAAGTGGCATGAATGATAAGTATGTTTGAAGTGAAGGGGATTAATGGCAATATGTTTCTCAGTGTAATAAATTAAAAAAAATTAAACACTCACCATGTAGTTTGATTGAAGTATGTTCCTTTTCTCTCGAGTGTATATTCTCTGTACTGTGCTGAGGTCTTAAGTTTCTTTCTTTTTCTTTCTTTCTTTCTTTCTCTCTCTCTTTCTCTTTCTTTCTTTCCTTCTCTTTCTTTCTTTCTTTTTCTTTCTTTCTTTCTTTCTTTCCTTCTTTCTTTCTTTCTTTCTATCTTTCTTTCTTTCTTTCTTTCTTTCTTTCTTTCTTTCTTTCTTTTTTTCTTTCTTTCTTTCTTTCTTTCTTTCTTTCTTTTTTTCAGACAGTGTTTCACTATATAGCCCAGGCTGGCCTTGAACTCACAGCAATTCTCCTGCTTCAGTCTCCTGAGTCTGGGAGCTATGGTTCTTAGTAACAGAGACTGCTCAATTTTAGAGAATAATCTCACAAACACGAAATACTTTTTGCTTTTTTTTCTTTCCCCAGAGCAGGAGATTAAACCCAGGGCCTTTGCACTGAGTTATGTCCCTAGACCCTTTAAAATGTTTTTAAAAATTTTTTTGAGACAAGGCTTTGTAAAGTTGCTAATTTGCCCAGGCTGGGCTTGAACTTTTTATCCTCCTCCTTCCACCTCCCAGAGTGCTGGGATTACTATGTCTGGCTACTTCCTGCTCTTAATTTGCTAATTTAATTATAAGCAATTTTATAACTGTTTTTTTTGAAACACTCTTTCTCCGTAGTTCAGGCTGACCATGAACTCACTATGTAGCCTGGGTTGCTGTCAAACCCACGGTGACCCTCCTACCTCAGCCTCGAAAGGGCTGGGATTCCAGGTGTGTGCTACCATGTCCAGGTTACAGAGCTGGTTCTTTAAAGAATTGGCATTAATCAAGTTTCTCTGCCTGATGGACAGTAACCATGAATGAGCAAAGCCTAATTCTCCCATGTTGAGTAGTAAGGGCAGTAAAACTTAGATTTAAATGGAAGTGGAACAATTCAGTGTCTGTTTCTACCCATCTCCACCCCACCCCTACTCCCTTGCACCAAGCAGGGCTGGCCGGTGGAGTCTCACAGGAAAGCTCCCTTCGGGAGAGCTGCACTGTTTCTTGGTCATGAATGAATCAATAATGAAAGTCATGGGTATAGAGTTCCTTTCATAAATAGGTCATATCCGGATAAATATGGGCACCCCAAAAGTAGTTGTCCTGGGAATAAACATGTACTTATTTCAAAGGGTGACAATACTCAACATATGTTGGCTGTTTACTCTGTAGAGTTACTTTCAAAACCAGTTTGAGGTCTCTAAGAAAGCCAGTTTCGCTTGTCATCACAGTTCAGTATTTCAAGGTGCCTCTTCTTCCTCCTCGGTATTTACTGACCTTTCTGTTCCTAGTTCTTTTCTTTCTCGCTGTGGCCTCAAGCAGGGAAAACACCATTTTGGTGGTGCTCCAAGTATGGGGCAAGGCTCAGGCTACACACAGCCCAGGGGCTGAAGGGAGCCTGGCCAGCTGCGCAAGGCCTTGACCTTTAACTGCGGGAGCCAGCGAGCTAGCGGCCCTTTTCTGTGCTCTGTCATTGTCCCTTTTTCTGCTTTGAAGCCCCTCCCCCACCCCTTCCACAATAAGGAAGCCTGGAAGCTGGGCTGAGTGTACAGCCTTGAACTGTCTCTCAGAGGAGTCCTGGGCAGAAGGGGCAGGAAAAGAGGTCCTTCTTAGATCTCCATTCTTTCTTTGCTCCTGAGCCGTCAGTTAATGATCTACCCGTAATCCCCCACTCTTTGGGAAAAGCAGGATCAGCTTCCAGCCGCAGACTGAGGTTCAGGGCAGAGGGCACGTTGTACCCAGAGTCCACTCTTTCTGTTTTGTCTTTATCGTCTCTAGCTGTCCGCCGTTTTGTATTTGCTCTGTTCTCAGGGTTTTGATCTTTATAATCTCTTTCTGTCTGAATCACTCTTGGGGGACACGAGGACATCTGATAGAGGAAAAGAAACCTGGACGTTTGTAAAGCAATCATTCATAGAAAGCGGTGCCCTTACTCACCCCCCCCCCCAGCCATTTCTGAACTCCCAAAGCTCTGGAGTGAGGTGTTAGCTGATTGTACAAATGCGACAGTAGGATCCCCCCCCCCACATGTAGAGGCTGCATGCTCTGCTCACCATCTTTCCTGCTTTTGTCATTTCCAGAGATTTCTGTTTCTCACAAAAGGGTTTGAGGCCCATGATCTGGAAATTCAGCCTCCCTAAGTTACAGATTAAGCGATGCAGAGGTTGTTTAGACAGGGAGGAGGGAGGAAGGACGTGTTAGGACCCCTGCCAGGGAGGGGAGCACAAAGCACCATGAGTGAATGAGTGTCTCTGGTACTGAGTCAGGGAGAAGGCACAGGCAAGGGAGGAAGCTGATGGAACCCCAAGGATTGCATGGATGGAGGGTGTAACGTGGGGAGGTAAAGGGGGAGTAGTGTTAGGGGACATCAGCATCCTTCCCTACCACCTGGAAGAGGAGTCGCTTGGTCAAGGCCCTAATGGGCCTCACCTTACTCTAGGTCCTGGGGATACAGAGATAAATAAGATACGATCTCTACAAGTTTGCAGTCTAGCAAGAAAACGAGAAGGAGAGACATAGCAAATGGAAATTAGTTGAGATTTCTGTGGTACTGTGGTACTGTCCAGTGGGCCAGGATACAGCGACCGTTTCCAGTGGTTAACATTTATTGTGGAGTCACTCAGGGTCTCCTCAGCCCTTTCACGTAGATTAAGTTCCTGACCGGTGACTCCAACCTGATGAAGCATATATGACAGTGGTCCCTGTCCCTGTCCTACAGTGAAACATCTGAGGTGCAGAGGCATCGCACAGAGCCCTCCTGAGGTCCCCGCCTGTGGCCTTGAGTGAGCCCCAGAGGGAGCAGAGGTGCTGCTGCTTCCCCTCTGCTTGTCACTTGTCTTTAAAGGGGGACGTCCAAGGAGGCCTGCTCTGTGACATCTCCTCTGGCTCCTTCTCTCTCCTTGAAGCTCGCCTGGCACTTTGTGTGTATTTTAACTCCATCATGCTCTAATTACTGGAATGCTTGCCTCCTTGTGCTGTGAGCTTCTAGAGACCAGGAGTTATTTATTTTTTTTTGGAAAATTTAACATAACTATAAGAATAGAGCTTGTAATAGAACACATTTATAAGCACTCATCCCCCAAATTCGACAGTGATCATTTTGGTCCAATCTTGTGTCATGCACTCTGCCTGCTGACTTGTAAACCCTCTGGAAGTCTGGACTTTTTGGTAACAAATCTTACTCACCAGACTGTTTGAGTTGTACTCTTAAAATGGAGGGGCCCTGTGGAAAGCATAAACACAGCACCATTATCACACAATCAGTTCTTAAATCGTGAAATATCCAGTCAGTGATCAAATTGCTGCAGTTATTTCATATTGTCCTTCCTTCCCTTTTCCTTTTCTTCCTTCCTCTTTGGTTCCTGTCTTTGTCCTTTCTTCCTTTTTCTTTTTTAAATAATAGAATCATTTGAATCTAGGATCTCTTCTTATTCTCTTCAACACTTAGTATTTGTTGTATGTTAAGTCTTTAATAAACGTTTGCTGAATGAATAAATCACTGGAAATCTATAAAAAGTTCTGGCTGTTTTTTCCCCACTCCCTGCAGTACTAAGGATTAAACTGAGGGCTTTCACACTGATCTACATCCTTGGCCCTATTTGTATTTGCTATCTTTTTTCTTTTGTCAGCATCAGATTTATTGTTTCATTTTCATTTTTTTCTTGGCTGATTTTGTTTTGTTTTTACCTGGCTGATTTTGTTTAATTTCTCAAGATGGCTTTCAACCTCAGAGAACTTTTAATGTTAAGTGGTAGCTACTATCAGTGCCTATGAGCATTGCTAAAGGCTTGATATATATATATATATATTTTTTTTTTTTTTTTCAGACATTTATAGGCGAGGAGTTATTGCTCTCCATAACTACCCATTTTTTTTTTTTTTTTGGTCTTTTTCGTTTTTATTGGTACCGGGGATCGAACTCATGACTACCTCCTTGCAAGTCAGGCGCTTATGCTGCTGAGCTAAATCCCCAGCCCCAACTGCCCTTTGTTTTTGTAACAGGCTGAGTAGTCATGAACTGAGTTCTGTCATGAATGTGTGTTCAAATTCTCATGTTGAAACTCTAACCCCTGCTACCTCAGAATATGACTATCTTTGGAGATGAGGGGTGGTAAGTTAAATAAGGCACCTCACTAGTACTCTTGTAAAGAAGGGGACCCTTGGATACACAGAGAGACAGCAGGGGTGTGTGCACTGGGAAAGACCAGGTGGGGACACAGCGGCATGGAGCGGTAACTGCCGTCTTCACAATATGATTACTGGTAACTGTATAATCCTATGGAATCACCACATGAATTGTGATGTGGAATGCTTCCATGGCCCCCAAATTCCTTTGAGCACCTATAGAGTCAACTTCCACAGCAAACCCTGGGGAATTTTTAGCACCACTAATTAGAATTGCTTATTCTTGGTCTTCATTTCAATGATATCATATGGTACAGCTCCTATTGTGTCTGGCCTGCTTTACAAATGACATTTTCAAGTCCTTTTTAGATGGAGTCCTGCTGTGCTGCCTTGGGGGCCTTAAACTCCTGGACCAAGCAAGATTCATCTATTCTGTTTAGCAAGTAATTTAAACCCTTTCAAGCAGGTTAGTGTTCTATGCTGTGTCCACACCACAATTAGTTTATTCATTCATCTGTCAGTAGATACTTGGATTATTTCTATTATTTGTTTATGAATAATGGTGCTATAAACATTCAGATATGACTTCATTTGGATATATGTTTTCATTTCTCTTGTATATGTAAAAATGGGATTGTGAGATTATAGATGTGTATCTTTTAACTTTATAAGGAAACTGTCACACTTTTTAAAAACGAGGTTTACATTTGCTAAAGGTAGGAAGAGAAATATGCTCCAGGGTGACAGCAGGCCACTGAAGCCAGAGAGGGCACAGTGACCTCCCAACCTGTTCTGTAGCGTGGTTGTCCCACTTTTATTTCCAGCAGCAATATATGAGAGCACTAGTTATTCGCCACCTTGCAACACAGCTACTGTCAGTCTTTTCAAGTTTAGCCACTTGCCATCCATTTCTCCTTGAGTACCTCTCTGTGACTGGCAGGATAGATTACTTATCTCACACCATCACCCTGAATGTTCTTCCAGCTACATGTTGTTTTTCTCAATGTCACCTGTGCTTCAGGCCACAGTTTCGTAGGCATTTCCTAACAGCTGGCTGGAAGCAGAAAGGCAGAAATGGAGGGGTGTGGCAGGGAAGAGCTGCTCCTCTCACTGCAGCCAGAAAGAGAAAGAATGACGGAGACAGAAAGGAAGGAGCCAGGACCACATGTAATGTTCAAAGCCATGCTCCTAATGACCTGGTGTATCCAATTCACACCTCCCCTAGCGAACCCACTCAGCTTCCGAACTTATCTATATCCTGATCCACATGAAGTCGGAGTCTTCATGATCCAATTACGTTTCCAAAAGCCCTACTCTTCACTGAACACCTGTGCTTTTTGGGGACATTTTAGGTCAGTGGTAGCAAATGCCTTATAGATGAGTGTCTACCCACTACCCCAAGATCACTTCTGTTATGTATTACAAAGCACCAACACTGCAGTTAAAGCTGAATGTTTTTAATTCAGAAAAATCAACTAATGTGTTAATATCTTTTGCTTAAAAAAAAAAAAACTCTTGTGGTATGGTTTTGCCATCACTGTTTCATATCAATCTATAACAGCATTAATCTTTAGGCCAAGCAGGGATTTGTAGGAGACAGATGGAACTAGAGTGGAGGGATTATACTAGGGAGTGGTAGAGAGGGAAGTAGGAAAGATTAAAGAGATCTGAACTTACAGGCCAAGGTCGAAGCTTCAGTAGGAAGTGAACCAGCTTTTAGGAAGGTAACGGGGCAGCGGTATGTAGGAAGACTTCTGTGGAAAGGCTGGGGAAAGAAGCCCAGTTCTCCCACAGTTCTGAAAGCCTGGTGCAGTTAGGTTGTGGGAATGGAGAGAATGACACAGCTGAGAGACCTTAGAATCGACGTGGTTTGGGGAGATGCTGTGTTGAATGTGAGGACCACAGAGCAGGGCTGGGAGACTTTGGGGGAGTCACTCAGAGAAAGGAGTGAGCCGAGGGGAGCCAGTTTACAGGAGTTGTGTAGACTGCATTTGGACATGGCAGCCAGGAGTTCAGGGAAGCAGTAGGAAGTAGATGAAGGAGCCCCCCGCAGGGAGGGCTGTGAAGCCCAGGGGAGGGCAGGGTGGAGGGAGACCTGAAGGGCCTGGCCCTGGCTGTGGTGTGAGGAGGAATATTTAGGTTGCAGGGAGAAGCCCCAGAAAGGAAGGTTACCTGTGGACTTAGATGATGTGAAAGCATGAAACTACCTCTGAGTTTGATCAAGGGATGGAGACTTACTTTTTTCTGCTTCTAGGGTCTTAGGTCAGGAGAAACAGGGGATGAGGCAGGAAAAGACATCACACACATTTCAGCTGCTTCCAAGAGTTGAAAATGAGACAATAGGTTAAAGTGGAATAAATGAAAGCTGTTCAGGATAATTAAGAGGGCACAACACGGGAACTCATAAGGAGGGAGACGTGAAGGGTGCTGGAGACTCCACAGGACCATCTGTGGAGATGCTTGAGAGCGACAGTTGTGTGGCTGCCTCTGCTTCACTAGTCACCTGTGTGGGAGGTGTTTCCGCCCCTCATGAAGAGGCTAAGAAGTCTCTCACTTTTAAGTCACCTTCTTTCCCAGAGGAAGACAAGCAGTTCCTTCCAGCAGGCTCCTCCCAGCTGCCCTCACTGTGGCAGTGGAGGTGCAAATGGATTTAGCTAATTCTCTGATCTCTGCATCCATACCTACAGATTTCAAACTGGGCTTCCTTTGACTCCTCACTGAGCCATTTTTTCTTTTATCTGTAAGGAAGACACTGTCTAATGCAGTGTTAACATGAAGCAGCATATCGATGTCTGATATATATTTTTATTATAAATATAGAGAAAATTTTACAAAGAATCAGAAGTGGCTTTAGCCAGGCTAAATTAAATAATCCAGCACAGACAGAGGAGGGAAAGTCCACAGTCAGCGTCAGGGCTAGAAATCCCTGGAAGAGGTACCTGAGTTGGAGAACTCCCAATGAATTCTCTTAGAGTGGACCTGTTAGGCATAGCATGTGATGGAACAGTGAACATCAAATAAACCTTCAAATAAGCCTTCAATTAAACCTTTCTCTCCAGCCCTAAAGATGTTTCATCTGTGTACGAAAAGGCTCCTTGTAGAGGACATTTGCCTTCCTTCTCTTGTCCCTTTTTATTTTAAGTCCCACTGGGACTCATAGAGCCCATGGGAGAAAAGGTAAGTTTCAGAGGCTGATCAGAAAAACCAGGGTCGGGTAACCCCTACACCCTCATGGCCTCTTGTGATCCTCATTCCTAAGGGGCATCAGCACCAGTGCAGTTTCCCAGGTTGTAAACAAATCCATCAGTAGGAGCCTATGGTTCCCTTTAGGGAGCTCCCACTTTGCAAGGCTCAAACACACCCTGGCAGAGGCCACGGTTTCCTGAGACACTAGGGCAGACAGGTAGAGAATGCACAGGAGGCAACATGGAGGGGAAAGGCAGCTGGTCTGACGTGGTTGGAAACCTAACCAGGTCCGTGTCTGGCATGAACGAGCAAAACTTCTTTTTATTTTTTCTTGAAGCCTTTGATAAAAAAGCCTTGAGAGGCTCTGGGCCAAGGGGGCCTGAGGGATATTTGGTGGCTTCCTATATACCAAAGCAGCCAGATCAGCTTACATAGCTAAGTAAAAATAACCCTTTTCAGTGAAGTAAGCAGTTACAAAATTTAAAGTCATAGAATGTCTCAGAATAGGGGAAAATTAATGCTAAGTAACACTAATGCAGAGATCACATGCCTCTAGTTGTGAATTCTTTACCAATGATTTTAAATAATGAAGGACAACTCTGTTCTTCTTCCGAGTTCCCAGCAGATGGCATTTTTTCAAAGTTGAATTCCCTCATAAAGCTGTAGTTTCCTCTTTTCCAGGCACTTCCTTGAATAAAGCCCTCTTAGGTGTTAAGGATGTATGTGCACTCTTGCATTTTCCATTGGGAGTACTTGCAAATCATGTCCCTAGTTGTTTTTAGTGGATTCTCTGGAGATGGGCTTGCCATAAGGCTTAGGTGATATTCTAGCAAATCAGCAAGGAGTTTAGACCCCGTGACAGGAGATAATAATACAGTATTTCCCAGGGCACTATTAGTTGCATATTTGACTTTCTTGAGTATGGCAGGTTCACATGAGAATTTGGAGAGAAAGGAAAGCCATTATTGATTTTACTTTCTCTCTCTCTTTTTTTTCTTTTGGCACATGCACTTAAGTGGAAAGGGAAATAACCCTCAAATGATGGCAAATTAAAGTTACACCCTGACAGGACAGAAATGGGATAGGAAGAAATGAGTATGCTATGAATAAATAACTATAAAATAAATCTAGTATGGGACAAGGAGAGCCAAGGAAGTTCTGGCAACTCTTGCCCAAAATTGGCTCTGCCAGCTTTCAGTGACCATGAAGTGGACTTCCCTACAGAGTCCCCGATGTACCTTTTCATTTATTGACATTGGAGGGAGGCCTTGCAGCCTGTAGGTGCTGCATGTGTCAGGACAGAGTAGGGGGCTGCTTTTCCTTTTCCTCCCAGTGTAAAGAAATCTCTAGGGAGGCCATGGAGTCGGTCAGCAGTGCTGTGACAGCATAGGTTGAGTCACTTTTTTTTCACTTCTGAATAAACTGTTTCTGGTACTGTGGGAACCGGCGAGTCTGAAATTGGTTGTTTTGGTTGCAGATTATCGAAGCTCAGGGAAGAATATGCAATTTCATCCACCTGTAAAGTACAAGCAGCCTTCAATTAAATTATTATCACGGAATCTCATTGTGGTTGTCATGATTCCAACCACCACGCTGACACCTCTTTGAAACATTTAGCTTTGGGAAAGGGCAGTTCTCTGCTTGCTGACATGGTGCTGAACGGTCCTTTGAAGGGATAAATTATGGTGATGATGGGATACAGTGGAATATGGTAATAGCAGTGAGGAGGAACAAACCACAGACATACGCAACATGGGTGAATCTCATAAAACAACACTGACTGAAAGAACACGGGTGCCTACAAGGGTTTGCTGTTAGGATCGTGGTCATGGCTTGTAGGGAAGTGACTGGAAGGACTAGGGATTTAGCTCAGCGGCATAAGCGCCTGCCTTGCAAGTGTGCGGTCGTGAGTTGGATCCCTGGTACCAAAAAAGACAAAGGAAAAAAAAAAGACTTTTTTGGTGAGTAGACATATAGTGTCTTGATTGGGGTGATGTTTTCATGTGTGAAAGTTCACACCCTGAGAACTTATGATGCACACATTATCACATATGATCACTTTACTCTCCTGTGAACAAAACTGAGGATTAAAGAGATGATATGTTTTAAGGGTCACAGATATACTGGCCCACACAAGTAATAGTTACACACAGCCTCGATGTGGATAATTCCAAAGTCCACATCCTTGCTGTGAGGTGGACTCCTGGAAGTGATTAACCAATCATTCTTCACTGCTATATCGAGGAACTTAGGCCCCAACTTGATCTCACATCTGCGTCTTCAGGAGCAACCCATTCTCCCTGGGAAAATTTCCACGAGAAAATGAGCCAGGGAGTGTGGCTGTGCTTACCTTGTCAGGAGAGTTATCAGAGGGGCCCAGACCTGGGGAAGCAAAAGCAGAGTTACCCCTCTGTGGAAGTGCAAAGCTGGTTAAGGCCTTATGATTTAGCTGGAGGAGGTAGCAGATGGTGGCTGTTGGGGGGCCCGGGATATGAACCGCATGATCACTTAGGAAATTTGCTTCCCTCAGAATCTGTGGCTCAGATCGAGGGCTTTAGAACCAGATGAGGGATGGGAGTGAAGACACAGGAGGCCTCAAGCCACCTCTGAAGAGTTCGACTGATACGCCAGGCCTCGATCGTCTCCCCAACCATGTGTTTCTTAGTAATATGCTTCAGTGGCAAGGATGGGCAGTGAGGGCCCATAGCACCCAGAGCACCCACGAGCCAAGGAAAGTCTCACCGAGGAGAGGGCCCACATCCGTAATAGAGGCAACAGGGAAGGAGTAAAGGTGCAGAAATGGCTCCTGGTGCCTGCCTAGCTCAGGTGGAGTGAGCTTCTCCCCAGACTGTGTCTCAGGGGACTCTTGTGACTAGGAAGGGTTTAAGGACCTCTGTCAACTAAGGGCTGGGAAGTGCAGCACAACTGAGACTGGGCAGTGTAGTTGGTGAATCTAGGGTTCTCTGCTAGGGTAGGGCACATGGTCGAATATACCCATTCTGACAGGGTGAGTGGCTTTACTTACTGTGATTGGAGACTGAGGGTTTGTGCTCTGTGAGATCATGCTGGTCGCTTGCCCTAAACAGATATCAGACACTGTGACTGCTATTCCCAAGTGCAGGACCTTTGGTCCCTGGCTTAGGAAGGACATGTTAGCAGATAATTCCTTGACACTCTTCGATGTCAATTCATTTTATGGTTGGCATTGTTTTTCGTCTTAGTCCTCTTTCTTCAAGCTCCCCACAGTTCCTGCTTCCTCCCTTCCTGTTTGCTAGATGTCCACATTTACATTTCTTTTTTCCTGGTGCTAGAGTCAAATTCAAGCCAAAAGCTGCTGCTCAGCTACATCCCCCACCACGTAGATTTAGTCTTTGCTGACCCTTCTGTGCCTCCCTTTCCTTCGGGCCCCTCCTATTTTGTTTGTATAGGTGGAGTTTGTTTCGTCCCCCTTATTTTGCTTATTGTCCAAGGGGATTCTGGTGGTTTCTCCTTTCTCTTGAACCCCCTTCCTCCCTCCTCCTGCTACTGTGGCCAACAGAGTAGTCACTTACTTTCCCCTGCTGCTCCTTTCATTTCCTCATTTGTCCACCTTCTTGGACCTTGGCTTCCTGACTGGGGGGATAGAGGAACATAACTGGTTCTGTTCCTTGAAGCTATACAGGGATGAGAAAAACCACTCCCAAGAGGCAGCGGAATACAGGGAGCATGAGGGCAGGAGCAGGAAGACCCACTGGACTTAAGACTGAGAAGTGGCGTTTAGGAAGGTGAAAAAGAGATCCAGCCCCAAGACGGAGGGATAAAAGTGCTGTCCCTCTCCCGAGCATGGCAGAGAGCCTTGGAGGAAATGGAAGAAGTGGAAAGCACAGCATACCTGCCAGTCTTTCTGAAAAACAGGAAATATGCCAGGCCGGCTATCAGAGCCACCACAGCTACAGCTGCAATCACGATGCCGACAATGGCCCCCACGGAGAGACCAGAACTTTCTTTTTCTGGATTATTGGCCATGGAAAGAAAAGAGAAAAGGTAATGAAACTGAAACTGCTTTGCATTGGGGTGTCTTGACACAATGCTAAACATGATGTAGCTCTATGTATTCCTTCGAGGAGTACATGTGTTGTTGAAAGCCTTGAAGTGAGGTGACTGGCAGGCCTTGTAATCCGCCCCCCTTATTGGTGATTTACCTTCCCACAATTCCATCCAGGCCTTTGTGCAGGTATCTGAAGGCTTCAGAAATGTGAGGAAGGCTGATTGCTATTTCTGTATGTTGTAACTTCCTATCGTTTGTGGTTCCATCTGTTTTCACAGGGTTCTTTTTGAGCTGGCCATGAATATGTGCCTATCAGCTCTCTTGTGGCAAGGGCTTACTTGACAGCAGGCGCAGGTTATAGCACATGCAGAATTCATCACCTCCTTTGCATAGAGACCACGCTTCCCACAGCAGTTAGCAGGGGCATAAAGAAGCCCAGATCTGCAGGACACAGCTTTCCTCTCCTGGGAGACTTTGTCTTGCTAACTCTCCATCAGTCTTACACAAACTCTCTGAGGCCTAACTGCACTGCAGTCTAAAGCTGCCATTTACACACTTTCCTCTACACATAGGTGAGATCTGCACTGTGATCTGAGGGTTCTCCCGGGCTCCCTGTGAGGTAGACATTATGTCTGTTTTATGGATGACACACTGGGTTTAGACTGCTGAAAAGCTTACTTACCTTCTTATGGCTAACACGAAATATATCTGGCTGTCTGATTTCAATCATAATAATTGCAGTAGTAATAGCAGATAACACTTCTGGGGCCTTTTCTCTATGTGTGGCATTTTCCTGAAGGGTTGTTATTACATGAAATATTTCGTACAAACCCTGAAACAGGTACTTTTATTAAGATTTACAGTTGGGTTATCCGAGGGTCATATAAATTAAGAATCATATGCAAGATATTCATAGCTGTAGATGCTTACATTTAAATATCATGATCTCAATTTAATAATGTAATTGGAGTTAAGAAAATACAAAAGCAATAAGCTAAACTGAAAATTAGTGGAAGGAAATAAAGCTCTGGATAAAGATAAATAAAACAGAATGCAAAAATAGTTGACAAAAGTCGATGAAAGTAGAAGTTGGTTCTTCAAAAATGATAAGCAAAACTGAAAAATTTAAACTGAATTAACTAAGGAAAAAGAAGTTTCTAATTACTAAAACTATAAGTGGGAGGCTGGGGCTCAACGGCATAAGCGCCTGCCTTGTAAAGCAGGCAGTCGTGAGTTCGATCCCCAGTACCGATAAAAAGGAAAAAGACAAAAAAAAAAAAAAAAAAAAAAAAAAAGACTATAAGTGAATTAGACATTATTATCAGTTTTTCAGACTAATAAATTTTTTTTTTTTGTCTTTTTTGTTTTAATCAGTACCAGGGATCGAACTCACGACTGCCTGCTTGCAAGGCAGGCGCTTATGCCACTGAGCTAAATCCCTAGCCCCAAGAATAATAAATATTTTAAGAGTACTGTGAATAACTTTATAGCAATCATTGGTTTACACAGGTGGAATGAGCAATTTCCTAGAAGCACGAAGAATCGTGGAGAAATAGAACATATGAATACATATGAATCTGTAAAAGCATTTGTTAAAATTCATGCAAAAAAAGAAAACAAACAAACAAAAAAGAAATTAACTCAAACTAGGCTAGGTACCATAGCAAACACTTGTAATCTCACTACTATGGAAGCTGAAGCAGAAAGATTGTATATTCAAGGCTAATACTGACAACTTAGCAAGACCCTGTCTAAAAAAAAATTAAAACAGCTGGAATTTAGTTCAGTGTTAGATACCCTTTGGGTTCTATCATCAGTACAGGAAAACAAAACAAAAGAAACATAATGAAACACAAAGAACAACACAACTGGGAACAGAAAGAAAACTAAAAGCCCACAGTTAACATCAGACCCACTGGTGAAAGGCTGAAAAATTTTCCTCTAAGATTAAGAACAATACAGGGGCCTACATTCACTTCTGTTCAGTGTAGAATTAGCCACTCTAGCAAGAGCAAGGCAAGAAAAAGAAATAAAAGACATCCAAATTAGAAAGAAGTAAACTTATCTCCATTTCCAAATGACAACAACTTGTAGATAGAAAAGCCTACTCCAAAACTATTTTCATTAATGAACCAATTCAACATTTACAGACTAATGAAATCAAATGGAAAACTCAGTTGTATTTCTATACACTAAACATGAGCAATATAAAAGCAAATTAAGAAAAAAACTCATTTATAAGAGCCTCCAAAATAATAAAGTACTTAGAAGTAAACGTCAAGTTGGCTGTGGTGGTCTAAGGCTATAAACCTAACACTCTAGAAATCTGAGGTAGGAGGATCATAAATTCAAGTGTATCCTGGATAATTTAGCAATTTAGCAATACTCTATCTTAACAAAACAAAATAAGAACAACAGCAATAAAAACATTGGTGATCTAGCTCAGCATAAAGGCCCTGAGTTAAATCCTCAGTACTGCAAACCAATCAGTTTCATCAAGGAGGTGCAAGACTTGTATGCAACAAAACTATAAAATTTTGCTGAAAATATTGTAAAGTACATAAATGGGAAGTTATTCTATCATTTTTTTGAAATAAGGTCTTGCTATGTAGTTCGGGTTGGCCTCTTCTTGACTTCCTTCTTGAAGTGCTGGGATTATAGGTTTGCATCACCATAAATTGCCTGTGATTAGGTATTGGAAGACTTCATATGATTAAGGTGACAGTGCTACCCCAATGATCTATAGATTCATGCCACTCCTATCAAAATCTCAGTGGCATTTTCAGGTAGTTGTCATGGTGCATCATGTAATCCAAGAACCCTGGGAGACTGAGGCAGGATGATCACAAATTTAAGCCCAGCTCAGGCAATTTAGCAAATTAATAAGACCCTGAACAAAAAAGTGGGTGGTGGTAGCAGTAGCTGGGGATGTAGTTCAGTGTGAAGGCCTTAGTTTTAACTACCATTAATAAAACAAAACCCAGGGAAATATTTTGCAGAAATAGAAAAAACCATCCTCAAATTCCTATGTTATCTCAAGAGACCCCAAATATTTAAGATGACTGAAGTGAAGAATAAAATTTGACTCACACTGCCTGATTTCAAAATTCAGTACAAAGCTACAGTAATCAAAACAGTGTGCTCCTGGCATGAATAAAGGTATATAATCAGTGAAACAGAATAAAAATCCCACAAACAAATGCTCCCATGGATGGCCAAATGATTTTAAACTATTTAAAAATGTTAATTGCCATGTAAGAAGAACACATATGCATGGGATAAAACATGTCATTTAATGTATGTATACAGTGTGTGACAACCAGGTCAGGGCACATGGCAGCTCCATCACCTCAATGTTTATCATGGATTGTGTAGGGAACACTCAAAATTGTCTTTGCTACTTATTTTGAAATACAGAATTAAGCACTGTCAAACATAGTTATTCTGCTGTGCTACAGAATACTAGAAACGATTCTTTCCATCCAACTGCACTGCTGTGGCCAAACTATTTTTGATGAGGATTCCAGTACTGTTCCATGCAGAAAGGAATGTTTTTAGGACAAAGATGTTGAGAAAGCTGAATCTCCATGCAAATGAAAGAAGCTGAATCTTTACCTGACATTATATAGGAAAATTAATTCCAAATGGGCCAAATGCCTAAATGTAATAGCTAAACCTGTAAAATTCTCAGCACCAAATACACAGAAAACTTTTGTGATATGGGATTTGCAATGATTTCTTGGTTCTGATAAAAACATAGGCAACAATACTAAGAAAACAATAGACAAGTTGGACCTCATGAAGAAGTTTCTATGCGTGAGAGGTTTTTCTCCACCTGTAACCCAGAAATTCCTCCTTTGGATATATGTGCAAAGCACTTGAATGATCTTTGGAGTGATAACTAAACTCCTGTTTTAAACATAATATTTACAATGCTGAGATATGGAAACTAAGCATTCCTTAGTGGATGAACAGATAAAGACAATGTCTGTGTACACAGTGGAAGACTGTTTAGCCTGGAAAAGGAAGGCTTTTCTGTGATTTCAGCAACATGGATAAACCTGGTTAAGTAAAATAAGCCAGGCCCAGAAAGAGAAATAATGCATGATCTCACCCATATGTGGAATCTAAAAAACACTGAAGTTATTGAAATAAAGAGCAGAGTGATGGCTGAGAGAGATTGGGCAATAGGGCAGGAGGCGAATGGAAGTTGGTCAAAGGGTTCAAAGTTTCAGATGGACAAGAGGAACATGTTTTGAGATGTATTTTACAGTGCAATGGTTACAGTATATGATAATATATATTTCAAAGTACTGACACAGTATATTTCAAATATCTTAGCATACAAATGATAGGTAAGAGGGGTGATGGATAATTATTTTGGTTCAATCATTTTGCATCACAGACAAATATAAAACAACTCACACTTCCTGATCTCAAAATTTACATTCACAAAACATTGTGAACATCACAAAAATGTTTTTCTACTATGATCAAGCTTGGTGGCACATGCCTGTCGTCCTAGCACTGGGGATGCTGAGGCAGAGGATCACTGTGAGTTCAAGGCCAGCCTGGGATGCACAGTGAGGTCAAGCAGGGCCTGACTAGTAATGAGACCTTGTCTCAAAAACTAAAATGACAAAAGAAAACGATTACACTTTAACATCAACAACAATCCCCAAACAATCCAAGTAAAAACTAAGCAAAAGACTTGAGCAATCATTTCCCCTAAGAAGATAGGAAAGTCCCAGTAAGCATACAAAAAAATATGTTAGTTAGTTATTAAGCAAGTGCAAATAAAAACCACCTCACACCGAACAGGCTATCTCTCATAAAAAGATGAGTCTTTCTGAGGATGTAGAGAAATCGGGACTTGTGTGCATGTGGGTAGGTGGGAATGTGAAATGGGGCAGGCACTGTGAAAGTCAGTATAGGACTTCCTAAAAAAATGTTTCTCATTTGGGAATTCTACAGCTGGGTATGTACCTAAAAGAACTAAATCAAGGATTTGAGCAGATATTTGCATATTTATTTATTAGCAGAATTATTAATAGACCAAACATGGGAATAACCCTGAAGTCTACTGATGGATGAATGAATAAGCCAAATGAGGTAAAGCATAAAGCATACCCCATAAAGCAGTATATCCACACAATAGATTTTCACTGTCTTAAAAAATAAAAAAGGAACAAACTTCTGGTACATATTACAAAATGGATAAGCCTTAAAGACATTATATTAAGTGAATTAAACCAGACACAAAAGAACACATATTGTGTAATCCTCCTTCTGTGGGAGGTTTAGAAGACAAATACATACAGACAGAGAGAAGGGGGTTACCGGAGGCTGGGCGGTGGTGGAATGGGGAGTTGTAGTACACTGAGTATAAAGTGTTAGTGTGGTAAGATGAAAAAGTTCCGGAAATGGATAGTGGGAATGTTACATAGCTAGATGAATGTACTGGAGGTCAAGGAACTATGCAATTTCAAATGGTTAAAATAATAAGTCTTGTGCATATTTTACAATAAAGCAAAGAAACATTAACAGAAAAACAGACTAAAAACAAATCTATTGCAAGGTGGCAATCAATGCCAAACTCAGTATAAGAAACTCAGTATGGTTGGCTTTCTCGTATCTGTGGATTTAAGTAACTATTGAGGTTTGAAAATCTTCAGAAAAAAATGAGTCCAAATGGAAAATGTATGGACATTTTTCTTGTCATTATTCTTTAAATAATGCAGCACAAGAATTGTTCCCATTGTGTTGGAAATAATCTAGCAATGATTTAAAGTATATGGGAGAATGAGTGTGCTGGCTCATGTTGATAGACCTGGTATTCTGTGAAGTTGAGGCAGGAGGATCACAAGTTTGAGCAGAGTCTTGGCAACGTAGTAACCTACTAAGACTGTCTCAAATAAAAGAAAAAGAAATAGGCTGGGGATGCAGCTCAGCAGCACAGTGTTGTGAGTTTGATCCCAAGTACCAAACAAACAAACAAACAAAAAAAAAAAAAAAAGAAAGAAAGAAAGGAAGAAAGGATGTAGTCCACTAAGAAGGCCCTAGGTTTAACTTGTAGTACTACAAAACAACCAACCAACCAATCAAACAAAAGTATATGGGAGAATTCTCACAGTCACATGCAAATGCTACCCCACTTTAACATTAGGCATTAGAGTATCCACAGGTACTGGTGTCTGTGGGACTCCTGGAACAAACTCCCTGTGAAGACTGGAGGTGACTGTGGAGTCAGAGCCAAAGCTCTTAACCACTTTGCAAGTCCCTTTACTACCTTTGTGTCTCAACTGATACATTCCCTGTGACTTGTATCCATCTTGCAAGTTACTGGGAGAGAAATTCTCCCCAGAAGAGGTAGGAGAGGAGAAGTCACTCACGGAAAACATCCAGCCAGAGGGCATCGCTCCTGTTGGAACTGACAGGATTGGAGACCTCACACTGATACTGCCCGGCATCCTGGCTCTTGACAGGGTCAATGGTGAGGATGCTGTCTTCCTCAGACAGTTTCATCCTCTCTGAGAGCTGCAGATCTTGGTTATTGAAGATCCATTGGATGGAGATGCCAGTATCATTTGAGAGGCAGGTGAGGACCACAGAATCATCTTCTGTGACAGTGGTGTTGCTGGCCTGGATAGAGGGTGGCGACACTGGCTCTGTGGACAAAGGAGAACCAACTGAGTGTGGGCCTGGGGACTAGCCGTGTTCTCTTCTCAGATATTCAGCCAAGTCTCTGGGCCACAGTGAGTCTGTGAAGTGATTTGGAGGACAGCCCTGAACCCCGACAGAGGTTGCATGCCTTGAATAAAGTAACAGTAAGGAGCAGGCTATCCCTCCCTCTGAACCCAGCACACCAGGGGAGGCCCATCAGCTTCCCTAGACCTCTCTGAAGGATCCACGCTAGAAATCTGTTATTAGCCCACCTGTTCAGAAATCTGACTGGAAGGCCGAATATTTTTTCTCACTGACCTTTTCTTTCTTTTTTTTTCATTCGAGAAAGTCAAAGTAAAGTGTGGGAGGGGACTGTCTCTGGAGAGCAAGCATGGACTGAGTAAAAGAGGAAATAGCAAGATAAAGACCAGCCTGGGGAAGGCAGGGTGGGCTATCATGTGAGAAAGCCACAATAACCTCCTATTGACTTCTGCATGATGTTTGGCCAGTGCTTTCTATGACAGTAAAAGCTGAGCCACCTGTAGCCTGAAGAATATCTCAGTTTGAAAAAGACTTTTAATCCCTGACCTGTGGATTAAATACCACAGAAAAGGAAATCAGCAGAGATAAATGGTCACAGTGTTCATTAAAGGCTGGCATCATTCTCTCTGCAAATGTAGCCCTCTGGCCCCGCCCTTCCCTCCATGCAGGACTGCACAGGGAAGCACTGCTCTCCACGGTGCATCACCTACAGGTGCATTCTCAGCCTCAGACAGCTGGGACTTCAGAGCCAGGACTCAGAGACATCTGCCAGAGGTGCATTTTTCATTTCATTGCATGCTGGGAAGTCTCAGATGCCCACTGGGGACATGATTAGCAGAATGAGGACAGGTAACCCAGACACCTAGTCCACCAGTCCTGTCCCACCCCAGAGAAAGTAAGGGCAGAGCTAGTCCCTGCATGAGACTGGAACAGAGCTGGGGCCGAGCTCTGAGCCGCTGTGCCCTGTCCAAGATGGATTTCCTCCACTCATTGGAGAAAAACAGTGCAAAGGTGTTTCCAAGCCCTAGGGGGTCCTTATAACTCCTGGAAGAAGTTAAGGAAAACAGAGTTGACAGAAGGAGGGAGTTAGTCAGTGAAAGCAGCTACTTGGCCTCAATGACCCGCTGATTCTCTGAATCTCTGCGCACTCCGTGGGTCTTTCTGCAATGAGGAGAGCTGTCTCTCAGTTCAGGCTGAACTCCAGCTCAGCCATGAGAAGTCAGGCAAGAAAGGAAGGGAGAGTCTCAGGGATGGGACATAATGCTCAGGGAGAACAGAGACAGAGATTTGCTTGTGTCTGAGGACACAGGCTGGGAATGACTAGTTTCCCACTATTTCCAGAAAATCAAAACTCTAGAGCTTGGTGCTGTCTGTCCAGGGCCCACTTACCAATGACTGTAATATTCTTGACTGTGCTGCTATTGAGGCCAGTGGCAGGGTTAGAGACGAGGCAGGTGTAAGATCCACTATCATCTGCAGAGATGTTAGGGATAGAGAGCTCCTGTGTGGATTGCAAGAGGCTCCCATTGACAAGCCAAGAATACTGTGCAGGTGGGTTAGAGTCTGCATGGCAGGAGAGGCTGAGGTTTGTCCCTTGACGGAAATGTGACTCTGGGGGCGATATGATGGGGGCATCCGGGCCATCTGGAGTGAACAGAATAAAGCCACATGTGACTTCATTAGAGGGAAGAGGAAGCCCCAGGCTTGTAAGAAGGCTGAGTATCCTTCTGAGCCATGCCACAACCTTGGTGTTAAAACATCCCAACCAGACGAGGGGGTGCAGCTACATGGCTTAGCACCTGCCTAGGATGCATTAGGCCCTGGTTCCATCCCCAGTACTATGTACACAGAAAAAAAGTCCTGGTCATATCCTACTCTGCTGACTTAGCCTTTGTTATCCTGCTGTTTTTAGATAACAGGTGGTTAGGTGAATCTCTGTGGACAGGAGAAGTCCATCTCCTGTTCTGGGCTGAAGGTCAGGCCTGCCTGGGTGGCATGATCAGGATGATATGGCCAGCCCAAGTGTCCCAGAGTGAGGCCTGTTTTCTGAACTTGAGAGAGAGGGTGACTGGGCTGGCCTCTGCCTCTGGCCCCAGTTACCGTGTGATTAGTTGGGACCACAGCAGAATACAAGTTACTCACAGGAAATATTCAGGGAGACTGGGTCACTTCGGTTGAAAGCCACTGGATTCCGGGTTTCACACTCATAGGGTCCTGTGTCATTCCTTGTGACATTCAGTAAAATGAGACTCCTGTTGCCATCAGACAGTTTCAGCCTATCACCTTCTTGAAGGCTCTGACCATTTATCCACCACAGGTAGGTTGTGTTCTGAGTCTCGGGTTCACATGTCAGTGCTACGGCTTCCTCACCCTCCAGAGGGCTGGAGTTGTTGACTGTGATGTAGGGTTTGGATAAGATCGCTGTGCAGAAAACAGAGAGAAGATTGCCTGACGTGGTGCCTTTGATCTGGGCAAAGGCATTTCGCCCCAGAGTGGAGCTGTCTTACCTCTCAGGCAACTTAAGTCCTTAAAGGACCAGACAGGAATGCATCTCACAGGCAGGTGCATGAGGACCTGAGCACTCAGGGGACATGAGACCAGCTACATATTGTCTGGAATAGCATACGCTTTTCATGTGGGAACCACGCTACAGTATTTGGTCATGGATAGACCCCTAGTGTCTCTCCTGGCCTCACCAGCAGCCACCTGGTTTGCCGTGGGTTATGTGTGTACTGAGACCCTCTAGCTGCAGAGACCTCCACTGATCGGTCTTGGGTGTTTCCTTTGAGGCTTTGTATGCAAGGCTGTGCTTCAGATAGGTCATAATGGGATCTGCCACTGAGCTTAAACCTGGACTGAGCATGGTTGTATGAAGAAATCACACACAATTAGAGCAACACTAAGCCTGGCATTCAGCTGGGGGTCAGCCTGAGGCCATAATGTGGGGACATTCTCCGTAAGGATTTGATAGTGACTGACATGAGCATGAGTCTAATGAATGATCTCGGAGAGTGAGAGAGTAACAGGCAACTTTAGAAAGCTGAATCAGTTGCTTGTCCTTGGTGTTTAGTGTTGCTCTTTCTACTACAGGTTGAAGATGAGGAACCTGTGGGCTCTGAAAGGTTTGGACAGCAATTTCAGATATTAAATTATTGTTCTGGGAAAAGTTTTATTTCTACCCACGTAGCTAAGCCAAATTCCTGAAAAAAATATTTCTCTCGGAGAACCACAGGATCTTAGATCAAACTCTGAAGACTTTTTGGGTCATATTAGATAGTTCTTGATGCTAGTTTGAAACTGCCACTCTCTGATGAGGAGCCCTGTGAACCTTACTGGATGGACATAGGGGACATCTGAGGCATCCCTAATATAAAATGATGGATGATAGCAACTTCCAAGAAGTGACACATCACATTAGTAACGTTAGAAGTCCTTATTCCCAGTTACTTCCTGGGAATGAGGTACAGTAGGCAGGAGCCAAACTGGGCATGTAAAATTTTTCTGTCTTTTCTTTTCACCCCAGGAATTCCCACTAGGGTTTTATTAAATTCTTCCAGATCAGACAGAGACTAACTAAAATGATGATGGCTGATGCATCTCACTGTGTTGGAGGACCCGCCTGTGACGATGGTGTCTTCATGGGGAAACCAGTATGAGTGACCCAGGTAGCAAACCCTTCAAAATGTGCTTCTTAGGGCAGCATCCTCTGGAGGAGGTGGCGGGGAACTCTGAAGGGATGTGGGCCCCATATGGGGCGCAGGATAGAGTCAGGAGTCAGATGGGTGGAACAAGCCTGGGCTTTGGGCCTTGTGGGTCTGTCCCTCTGCCTCTGACTCAGGCTGAGTCAGCACAGACAGCAGGATATGCTTGGCCCTATCTTGTGGCCTATGCTACCCACTGGCACTATGGAAGGAGAGAGCCCCAGAGCAGGGCACAGTGGAGGCTCAGCCACAGCAGGGGACATTGCCTTATGACAGAGCCTTAAAGGGACAGCTGATATGACTGATTTCTGTGGCCTTTACTGTTTTCTGGGAGTGTGGGCCTGGCCCCAGTTGTTAGTGAGAGGAAGCAGGATCATCATCCATTAGCCTGGGAGGAAAGGATGCAGCAAGCTGTGCACAGCAGGGCTGAAATGATGGGGAGGAAGATGAGGGACAGGGAAAGAGCTGAGATAGCTGGAAATGCCCATGGCAGAGAGCAGTGCAGTTTCAGCAACTTCACAATCCCCAGAGACCATAACACCTTTGGCTATGTCAGAACCAATCAGAGCACTCCTGTAAGGCTTTCCCCAGCCCAGCAGTTCCTGGGGTGGATCAGAGGAAGAAAAAGAGTATCTCAGCCTGTGAGCAGGACAGGCAGCTACTGTGGCTAGAACCTTTCAGGATGCTGTGTGCAAATTCCAGTCTCTGAAAGGGTGTAAGTCTTTCATTCATTCACTGCTTATTCTTTCCCTCATTTTTCACAAAACTATTTAATTGGCTATAAATTGAGCATGTTGGTTTCATGGTCTTGTGGGAAATAAAAGAGCAAAGGCATCTCTTGCATACTCCAGGGAACTGATCACCAATACATCAGGGAGTTAGGACTTTAAATCTAGTGAGGGATACTGGGGGTTGGTTTCCTGAGCACGGAGCCCTAAACCTTGCATTGAAGCAGATGATTTAATTCTAGAGTAAAAATTGATTAACTCTACATTTGATCTCATTGGTCTAACCAGACCCTCTCTGAGATACTGAGGCCTAAGATTAAAAAACATGAATCAATAACTGGACTCTGGTTCAGACACCTAATAAATCTTCCAGGGTAGAGAAGACAGGGCTGAGTTTATATGCAGGTAGATAAAGAGGTGCTATCCATTGTGTGTGTGACTCTGACCCAGCAACTGTATTTTGTTGTGCCTTCATCTCCCTGTTACAGGGTACACAGGAAATGGTATCCGGTTTGTTGTGTTGTTGGTAAAGTAATCTGAAATACTCATAATTATCCAACATTAGCATATAGTAGTTGCCTAAATAAACAGCATGTATTTCTTGTACAATGAATTAGAACAGTTCCTAGTGAACAGGACTTCCCCGAGTCTCATTCTCCTCTGTTCTTCCCCTTGGGCACACTGAACTTCATTTGGATTCCAATGCGTTAGTCAGTTTAGCTGTGTCCTAAGGCACCTGTCCATCTGTGCTCCTGTGTCAGGAGAGCTAACTGCCCAGGTGCCCCTACTGAGATGTGTCTCTGGGTGTTGTGCATTGGCTGCTCTAGGAAACTATGAGATTCAGACAGGCAGTGAGTTATTGCTCCCCATCATCCCTAAACACCCTGAGCACAAGCTCCCCAGGACCACTTGGAGTGAGGAGCCTGGGACAGAGGTCTGAAGCAGGGGATGCAAGACTTCCTCAGAGTCACTCAGGGTCATGTAAAAATGAGGTCACTTGGGGGCTGGACTGAGAGTTTCTCTCTGGGTCAAATTATTCCATCCAACTCTCCTTCCCTCTGCAAGGGAGATTCAGGTAAAGGATTCCAGTCTATCAAAGTTCATTGGCACTGCATGTGTCCTGCACTCTATGCTCAAAGCCCAACATAGGGTGTAACATGGTGGGGGTGGGGGTGTGTATGTGTGCACTGTCCGAGTCTGACAGTTTTGTGTGTACAGAGGGTGGATTGACCCCATCCCACACCCACAGATCATTGAGAATAACTTACGGTGTACGTGGAACTGTCCATATGTGTCTTTATTGTCTAAAGTTTCATCTGTGATTCGTAGGGTGTAGAATCCTGAGTCCTGTAGAGTGACGTTCTGGATCAGCAGGGATCCATTGCGGTATATTGTCTCTCGACCGCTGTATGCTTTCCCTGGTACAGTGACATTATTGGTTGTCACATATCGTATAATCATACTGTTAGGAGCAGTCGTATTCCCCTTGAACCATGAATAGCCTACAGTGTTCTCTGGCAAATTGTGGGCAAGTAGAAGAACATCTGCCCCTTCAACAGCATCGAAAGGCACCGATTCAATAGTCAGTTGGGCAGTGGTGGGTGGGCTCCAGAAGGCCAAAAGTGATGCTAGAAGAGAGAGACAGAGAAATTCATCAAAGTAGAAACTCTATTGGATGGAGAGATGGAGCCCTGAGTCCTCAGATGTTTTCACTGCTTAGTGTGACTGCTGCAGGCACGCGTGTGTCTCTTACTAGGCTGAGGTCAGCAGTGGGACTTCATTCCTTCCCTGCCCCTGAACTTGTCATTCCCTCTGTTTGGAGCACTCTCCCCCAGGGGTCTGCATGGCTCACTGCTCACCGTCCTCAGGCCCTGCTCATGTTCAGGGCAGCCTTGGGGGACACCTTTCCTGACCCCTCACATAGGGATCTGGTTCTTTGATTTCTTACCTTTTCCTGCTTTCTTCCCTCTGTGGCTCTTGTCAACACCTGACTTCCCCTGCTAGATGTCCTTTTTGATCAGTTTTCGTCCCTCTAGGACAAGAGCTGGGTGAGCACAGGGAGCTGTCTGATTCTGCTGGAGCCCAGGGTCTGGCACAGCCTCAGATACCCAGGATTGAATGAGCGATGGCTCTGAGAGCCCTGTGTGCACAGGGGTTTGTTTGCAGTTTCTGGGGGCATGGGTGAGCACAACACTTTGTACCCCAGGTGTGATTTTCTTTGGAGTCACCCTGACTTTGTTGTTGACATCAACTTTCAAATTTAGTGGCCTAGTGGAAGGTGTCCTTAATGCCAGCCTTTGAGGCTAAGGCAGGTATCTCTGTAAGTTAAAGTCCAGTTTGGGCGACGTGGACAGTGCAAAGCCTGCGTGAACTGCATAGCGAGACCCTTTCTCTAGGAAAAGAACAAATGTCCTGGACAGTGATGATTAACTTAGAGACAAATGGAGCTTTTCCTCCTCCCTTTTTAGTACCCATGCACTGCGAGTTTCCTGTTCCTCAGCCTTCTGATCCTCTTTTGTGTTTGCTTCCCTCCTGCTCCAAACAGAAACCTCTGTCATCTCAGACTCCTGTTTTCAGTGGACCCAGTCAGTGTTTAGGGATTCACCCTCTGGTATAGCCTCCCAGGGACTGTCCCCTCTCACCTGTAAGCAGGAGCTCCTGCCAGGGAACAAATCCTCTGTGGGAAGTGGTTGTGCGTGGCTCCATGGTCTCTGCTGCCTGCTTTGTCCTCCGTCTGGGGAGAAGACCTTTGGCTCCACACAGGCTCCCAAGCAGGCTGCCCAGGAGGGTCAGCTCTGCTGTGCTTCCTCCCTTTGAGCTGAGTCTCTTCCCAGGGCACGCCCCAGGGTCATGTGATGTGGGGGGTGGAGTCTGTGTCTAAGCTTGGCTCTCTCCTACCCTCTGGGTCCTGCCTTTCCTGTGTATTCCCGCTTTTTTGTATGAAATTTTATTACCACAGACCTCACTTTGAGTACAAAACTGTTGAGGACTC